TCTCCTACATATGTGAGTAATTTCATAAATGCACAGGTTCACAACACTGCGGATTAGATGACACAACAACAGTGAGCCTCACACCAGTTACAGTTCAGGGCTTGACAAAGACGTGCATTATTTTGTTTCATTTATAATGTACTGTTCTTAAATAATGTGAGTTAGAAATGGAGCCTGCATGGTTCTCGGGTATTGTGACTGTTGAAGATCAAAGGTCGTACATTAAAATCTAAACTTTATGTGGAAAAAACCCAACACAAATCCACAGTGCTTTAAGTGAAGTTTGTGGCGAGTTAACACTAGACCGTAGTACAGTTTCTCGCTCAGCTAGTCGTTTTCGTGGCAGTCGTGTGAGATGATCCAAGGCCAGGAAGGCCGAAAACATCAACAGATGAAAGACGTGTGAAACTTGTGTCAGATGCTCATGAAGATGATCGTGCGACATGTGAGGAACTTTCTAAAACCACAGGGATTCCAACAAACTCAATATTCCGAATTCTGACAAATGATTTAAAGAAGAGAAAGATTTCTGCGTGATTGGTCCCTCACTGCTTGACTGCTGAACAGAAGCAGAAACGCCTCAACATTGCAACCTTGCTGAAACAAAGATTTGACATTGAAGGGCAAGCATTCTTGTATCAACTTGTTGCTATTGATGAAACGTGGGTCAGAGACTTTCAATGGGAGCTGAAATCACAGTCCGAGTGGAGAGGTCCATCTTCCCCACGACCAAAAAAATTTCGACGATCTCAATCAAAGGTCAAACAAATGATGATCTTTGCTTATGATCACCAAGCAATCATCATGACAGGCAGAGTTTCGTGCGGAAAAAGTGCCACAGAAGTTTATTATCGTGACTTGATGCAAAATCTGCGCAGAAAAATACACAAAAACCGACCTCACTTGCTCGAGGCTTAGCCAATCATTCTCCGTGACAACGCTCGCTGCACATCAGGATTTTCGTAACAGAACAGCTCTGCCAATACAGTTGGGAGGTGTTGCCTCATGCTCACTACAGCCCGGACATGAGTCCACCAACCTTCGACTTATTCCCCAAGTTGAAACAACATATGCGAGGCCGTAGTTTTCCCTCCCTGGAAGAGCTTTCTGCCGCAGTTACCCGAGCCATTAGACAGATAAACAAAGATGGTGTCCTGGATGGAGCAGTAAAGCTTCCCACACGTTGGGACTCCGTCATTGAGAAGCAGGGGGACTATACTGAAAGACTGTCAAGGTACTTAAAAAAAATAAACGTGGACGTAAACAAAAAAATGTTTAGTTTCTTAGGCTGTAACAATTGACAGACAATAAATTCTTATGTGCACACATGCACAAAACACTCACCATCCTTTCTTTCAAGGAAATATCTCTTCAGCTATGTGGCAGAATTCTTGGCATTCCGTTACATAGAATTCAAAATCTTTCATAACCTTGAAACTTTTTTTTATCACAGATTATGTTTTGTGTTGCAATTACACAGCTTTACAAGAATTCAAGTGACATAACATCATATTTCTAACAAGAGCACCCGCATCTAGCTGCGAATATTTGCCCTACTCTGCGAGCAAACATACTTCAACATGATCGAACATAACGTCCAACAACCAAACCCGCGCAAGAACCAGCAACGTTTACGACATGATGGAAATGGCAGTGAGATTCCACGGTGACAAAGAAAACGTGGAAAGTTTACAAAGAGCATCAGTTACAACAAATATATGGAAAGTTCCCACAGCGACAAACGCAATAACAGTGGGACGCTGCCTGGGGATGCCTGGGAAAACAATCGCGTTTCCTCAGAGATGAAAGGAAAAGAACTGTTCATAGTGTTAAATCACAACAGATGGTTAATTATGTAGCAGCAGCCGAGGTTATAAAGCCGGGTTTACACCAAGGAAACTGGCAACCGTAATGCAACAGCGATTTCAAAGAAATATCGCAGGTTTGAAGAAGGCAACTAAGAAATGACCGCTTTCACATGAGGGGTTCTTGAAATCTTGGAAACTGTTTATTCTCAAAGTTCGTTATGTGGTTGGCTTGTGCTGATTGCATGATGAATTTGGCTAGTTAAAATCAGCCAATAGGGAACTGTTCTTGTGTGGGAGAGAAAGCAGCCTTAACCGGTAAATTCCCCATACTATGAAATACTCGATTGTAACTCTTATATGCAAGAAAGGTGAAAAGAAGAACTGTGCAAATTATGGAGCAATTTCACTGTTAACTACAATTCCCAAGGTGTTTGAAAAGATAATATTTAGAAGATTATTGTCACATGTTCACGCTTATGACATTCTAGCCAATGAACAGTTCGGATTTCGCCCCAAATTATCCACTGAAACAGCTTATATAACTTAATAAATACAGCTTTAGCAGCTATTAACAATAAAGAAAAAGTATGTGGATTCCTCTTCGATTTGAAGAAGGCTTTTGACTGCGTAAATCACGAAATACTTTTACATAAACTTGAATTTATGGTATAAATGACAACGTATATATGTTATTAATATCATATCTCCAAAATCGATATGAAATGGTGGTAATTAAAAATGGACCATTTCATAAGAGTGAATCAGATTGGGGTAGGGTCAAACAAGGTGTTCCCCAGGGATCTATCCTATCTATGCCATACCTCTTACTTTTCCTGCTATATATCAATGACTTACCTTTATCTATAAAATAAATGAACACCAGTGTAAAACCCCAACAGTTTTATTTGCGGATGATACTAGTGTAATCGTCAGTAATCAAAACATTGAGTTTCTCAGTCTCCCCGCGAGTTGCGTTTCCGTTTCCTCAATTTGCGTTGCTCCATTTATAACATGTGTTCAACTCTGGCTGATAACACTTCTCGGAAATCACGGTTGCGTTCCGGTTGCCAGTCTCCATGGTGTGCGCCCGGCCTTAGTTTCTTCAGTGTGCGCCTGCTAATTTGAATACCAGTTCTGTTATTGAAATTGGCGACATTTCTTTGAAATCACTGTTGCCAGTTTCCATGGTGTACGCCCATCCTAAAAGTGAGCAATCTAATAGAATCACGACGCTCAGAAAGGATACTGAAAAGTTTACAAGCTTCCAACGACGGATATCACGAACACAAACGTGTTCAATCCTAACAGTTCCGAAAATGTAATTTTTGTGAAAATTTCAATGAATGATATGATGGGATTGTTAGCAGACCCATCTGCTGCGCAGAATTAGTACTACATATACACCAGGTTGCTCCAGGCCCTCCAGCCCCTCCAGGCTCTCCCTGTTCAGCGCCCGGGTGCAGTTGGTCCAGGGGCGTGTGGCACACANTGGGATTGTTAGCAGACCCATCTGCTGCGCAGAATTAGTACTACATGTACACCAGGTTGCTCCAGGCGCTCCAGGCTCTCCCTGATCAGCGCCCGGGCGCAATTGGTTAAGGGGCGTGTGGCACACAATAGATAGGATATATAGTAATCTAGCAGAGCAGTGTAATTGCTGGTTATTATGAGTTAATGGCTGAGGGAAGAGAGGTGTAGGGACGATAAATATTGGGAATACCGGTCTTTACGTTAATACCGGCCATTGCGTTTGAATAGTTGTGTGTAAGTTTAAGTTAAAAATGTATTTTAAAACATATTGCTATATTATAGTGATAAATCACTGTGTGAATGTTATGTTATTTTTGATGTGAAGTTATTATTTGACATGTTCAATTGTAATTCTCTACATATATGGATGAAATTAATAATAATAATAATAAAAAAAGTTGTGGGTATTCTTCAGAGAATCATAACGATCATTGTAAGGAAATTGGATTTATTCATATTTTGGCAGTTTTAAATTTAATTGCCGACATTTTGTTTCAACGTTTTTCTGGCATGTCAGTTTTTGGTCGAGGTATAATCTGAAAGTATTTTACTTCGGTTTGGACCGGTATTTGCATATTATTGATAGTAACCTGTGGGCAAGTTATGCGCTTCGTGGTGAATGTAACTGACACAGATTTTATTTGGGTTATTTTGATTTTCCATTTGCTGTACCATCTCTGGAGATTTAAGTGATGTTGAAGATGTGATGCTACTACTGGATCATTATTTTCTGCTAGCAGGGCTCTTTCATCCGCCAAGGTTGCAATTGTAGTGTTCTTTGCTATGGGCAAGTCTGCAGTATAGATTAAGTATACTAGAGGCTTCATCACGCTTCCTTCCAGTACGTTGTGGGTTTTTCACTGTCACTTTTGGGCTGTAATTCCAAGCTATCCATAGAAAACAAACTTCTACTATATAAGTGTATAATAAAACCCATATGGACATATGGTATAAAACTATGGGGCTGTACAAAACCATCAAACACGAAAATAATTTAAAGACTTCAATCAAAATTCTTGTGCTCAGTGACTAAAGCACCTTGGTATATCTCAAATTTTACTATTCACAATGATCCGCAAATCCCATTTGTCATAGAAGAAATACATAGATTGTCAACACACTACCATCAAAGCATACTTGAACACAATAACAGACTAGTTGTAAAAATTATCAACCTACCAAAAGTAAGAACATTCAGGAGACAGCGCCCGTCTGACCTACCACAACCCGCAAATGATGAAGATTAAAATGATCACCATTCCTCTACAGGGCTTGTCATAGTAACATCAGTGGATGACTTCTCTACTCAAATCTACTCAGAACAAATTTACTTTTTATTCAATATTATTGAGGGTAAATTATATATAAGCTATTAATTAAATAAGAAAAAAATATTTTGGCACATTCTTAGCAGTGAACACAGTTGGGGTTCTTGATATTATTCTGCTGTTGCCAGTTCTACTTGAGATTCTAAATTTATCAGCACCTTTGTAAGTCACATGTTCACATACCCATTATCAGTTGTTACACATACCAGTCCAACTTATAGAGGAACTCATTAGGGCTATTGGTCTATGGTGAACTGGTTGAAGTTGCAATGTATACAATTGCATAGTGAATACTATAGGATTACCGTTTCTAGGATGTAAGTGAGTGCAGTCAGGTAACCTCTTTGCAACATTTTGGGAGAAAGCTGCCTTCAAAACCTGAGCAACAATCTGTCAAGACTACACAACACATAATGAGACACAAAGTTTCACAATTTCTGTTGTAAGAACAAAGAAATTCATATCGGGATGTTTATACACAGTCATCAGTATGTTTACTTACAGACTTGGGCAAACATTCTTAGCACCATACTGGCACACTTGTTATAAATTTGATGATATATCACTTGAATTCTCTTGCAACAGAATGCCAAGAATTCTGCTACAGAGAGCTGAAGAAATATTTCCTGCTGTAAGAGAAAGGATGGTGAGTGTTTGTGCTTGTGTGTACAGAAAAAATTTGTCATCTGCCACTTCTCACAGCCTAAGAAACTAAATATTTTATGCCAAGCTAGTGTTAGTTTTCATAATCAATCTGGGGAGTTTACATGGTTCTTCAGATAATAACAGTTTTGGATATTATGTAGGAGAGGGATCAATTCAGGGAGAGTGCTATGGGTAGGTCATATGGCACAAATGTGAGAATGATAAATGTATACCAAGCTTTAGACAGAAAACTTGAAAGAATGAAACCATTTGGGAGACATTTATGCAGATGCATTTTAAAGATATAATTTTGGGTTGTTTGGACTTCGCTTGTGTCAGGATGCAAAGTCATGATAGGCATGTGTGAACACAGTAATGAGCCCTTAAGTACCATAAAGAGCAGATATTTTCTGTCCACAATGACCATTAGTTTTTCAGGAAGGTCAGTGGACTATGAAGTTAATACTTGTCAAGATTTTTGAAGTCTGTAGAGAAGAAATCTGTACAGAGCAGCTGTTACTGGTTAGATGTAATGAGAAACAGCCATAGCAAGGAAAGCGTAAATTGTTTCATGTATGGTGTTGTACAGCCATGACTGATAAAAGGTATGATATCTTTACAGAACTATACAAATTCAGAGAACATTTTAGTGGGTCCATATGGTGAGACATACCCAGCAAGACATGATGCAAACCAGACCATGAATATAAAAGCTGAAGAAGTCTCATACGCAGAAGAGGAAACAAATCCTCTTCAGAATATAAAGGCTGAACCTGAGGTGAGCTGTGTATTTCCATCTGTTCACTGTTAGGCAGATATCACAAATCTGTCGAAGTGCGAATTATCTTTCTCATCTCCATATGCCTGTCTGTGTGTGCACATGAAACAGCTCCACTGTGCTGCTTACTGGACTTTGAAGACATTTCTCTGAAGTGTCTCTAGACCTTTACAGTTCCTTGAATGTTGCTTATGTTGTACCACTTCCCTTTCCTATTAAACAGGTCTTAAATTGTAAAGTAAAGATATCCCTGTAACAGGCCATGGAGGCCCATAGGGCTGTGAGATGTTGAGGTTCCCACGTTTTCTAGACAGTCGCCTCATAGATGGCGGCAAGGTTGTCAGCCCTACATGCTGGCCACCCCTTACCCCCAAGAATATTCAGTGTACTCATTTCTTTTAGAGGCTGAGTCAACCCCAGGGCCATAGTGCAGCTGGAAGGATTAGGTCAATTGAAAAAATTGAATGACCTCATCGGTACTTGAACCCACGACCTTCCGGCTTGTAGCATAGTGCCTCAACCAACTATGCTACCACTTGCGTTCTAATATAGAGGAAATGAAATACTATGCAAACTGAACAGTGTTTCAGACAAATTCTATAGTAACAAATATCCTTACATAATTACAGAACTGTTCACAATTAATTACTGGTACACCTATTAGAACCAAGAATTTGAATTACTGGGACTTTTGTAAACAAGTTCCAATGAATCCCACAAAATATTTATCATGTGATAAACAAGTTTCAAGGTTACAAAGGATTCTGCATTCTCTTGCAACAAGGGTGCCAAGAATTGTATTGCAGAGAGCTGAAGAAATATTTCCTGCTGTGAGAAAGGTTTCTGTCTTGTGCTTGTGTGCACAAACAATAATTTTATTATGATATAAACTCCGTCCCAGGTGCAAACAATATATTATGTGTCCTTGATCTTGCTCCTTTACACTACATATTTCGGCCTCAGACGGCCATCATCAGGTGTATAACACTCACTCTTTACTACGTAGACACGTAGTGTCTACGTAGTAAAGAATAACAGCGGCACACACACAGGAAGACTACACAGGATAACACCTATACCGTGTGGAAACAGGAACTAGCCGCTGCAGCACTTTAGAGATAGGGCGAGTAACCCTAACAATTTTAAATTTTAAAATTTAGAGAAAAATTTTAAAGGATTTTAAAATTAGAACTAAAGATTTTATAGTGCTACTACAGGAAAGTCAAAATTAACGTGTGTAAAATAATCTACAAACCAGACAGATATCAACGAAGTAGATGTTGATAAGAACAAGGAAAGTGTTTTTAAATGTTAAAGTTTGGGCTGGGTGCAGTGTGACAGCAACGTGAGCGTTATACACCTGATGATGGCCGTCTGAGGCTGAAACATGTAGTGTAAAGGAGCAAGATCAAGGACACATAATATATTGTTTGCACTTGGGACGGAGTTTATATCATTTATCGTATAGAGTGCAACAGGATGCTTAAATGTAATATAATAATTTTATTGTCGTATGTTAGTTCTCATGCCCACAGAATCTAAAATTTTGTGTTCATAGTCCATCTGGAGAGTTTCTTACACTCCATGTACACATTATAATAGTTTGGCATTTTCTTTAGGAGAGGGATCATTTCAAGAAGAGTGATGTGGGTGTCATGTAACACACATGCTAGAGTGAGAAATGCATACAAAGTTTTGAGTGGATAACCTGAGAGAAGCAGATCACTTGAGAGACGGAGTTGCATATGAAAAGGCGCTCTTAAGATAGAGTAAAGAAAATAATTTTGAAGGGTTTCTACTGAGTCTGCTTGCCTTAGGATACAGAGCTATGATCAGCGTGTGTGATCACAGTAATCAGCCCTTAGGTACCCCAACTAATTCCCATGGAGCTGAGTCCTTTAGATGCTACCAGTTCATTGCCATGTCCATAAGAAGCTGTCACAAGTCCCTGTCCTGAGCCATAGCACATTTCACAACACCCCATCCTATGTCTCTTTAAGATCCATTTTAACATTATTCCTCCACCTATGCTTAGGTCTTCTAGTGGTCTCTGTCTCTCACCAAAATCCTGTATGCATTTCTGTTTTCCCCCATGTCTGCTATATGAGCTTCCCATCTCATCCTTGACTTGATTTTAATTATGCTTGGCAAAGGTTACAAGTTATGAAGCTCATTATTCAGTTTTTAGGTACCATAAAATGTGAATATTTTATGTACTGTCACTGCACCACTTAGTTTCCCTGGAAGGTCACTGAGCTATGAACAGAAACTTTCTACTGATTTTGACAGCTGTAGAGAAGAACATCTGTACAGAACAGCTCTTATGAGTTAAATGCAATGAGAGAATATGCTGTTTCATGTGTGGTGTTATACATCCATTTCTGAGAAGGGTTTGATTGTTTTTACAGAACTACACAAATTCAGAGAATGTTTTAGTGTGTCCATATGGTGAGATGTACCCCACCCCTCATGATACAAATCAGGCCATGAATATAAAAGTGAAGGAAGGTTCAGATGCAGAAGAGGGAGAGGATCCTGTCCCAATAACATTTCCAGAAATAAAGGCTGAACCTGAGGTGAGCTGTATGTACATTATTAGGCAGATAACACAAATTTGCAGCAGTGCTGGTTGTCTTTCTGATCTCCAGCTCTGTCTGTACTCATGAAACAACTGCACTGTGATGCTGACTAGATTTTGAAGGCTTTTTCTTTTTCTGAAATGTCTCTAGGGAAGTGTAGGTTATTGAATGTTCCTTGTGATGTACCACTCCCATTTTCTTTTAAGCCAATATGATACAGATGAGATTAGATAATATGTAAACTGAAGAATGCTTGAGATAAATTCCATAGTAGGAAAAAACATGCACAATTTCCTTGTGCAGTGCTTTGATACTATGTCATGGGCTTCCCAGGATGTGTAAATGCTGATGATTATCATTTATTCATTTTCCATCTTCGATGCAGACTGTATCCATGTAATAACTTAAGAGTTGTCATTATGCTGAGGATTTGTAACAGGATAATTAATGATTCTCTACAGGTTTGTGACAATGTTTGACAGATTATAGACATGTGTTGCCAGTTACCCTTTGTTTCAAAGGAGATCACTGAATCAAATTCAAGGACACATCCTGCCCAACAATAGTCTCTAAGGCCTCTGATAGATGGGGGAAACATTATAGACACAGTTAGATGAAGATGACCAAGAAGGACGCATTCACTTCCAGCAAGACAGCGCACCCCCTCATTACCTTGGAGAAGTGCGCGAGTACCTCAGCACCCGTTTCCCAAGTCGGTGGATTGGTAGAGCGGCACCGATAGCATGGCCACCCCGTTCCCAGAAACTGACTCCCCTGGATTTTTTCTTATGGGGATTCGTTAAAGATCAAGAGTTCGTACCACCTTTGCCTGCAAATATCATTGAGCTCTGAACTCGACTTACTGCCTAGGTTGCAGAAGTGACACCAGAGATGCTACATAGTGTGTGGCAAGAGACTGACTACAGGTGGGGACATCTGCTGCATTACCAGTGGAAGTCACATTGAACCATAACTATCCGAGATAAAACTTGGTGTGTATGTCCTCTGTATAAATTTATATAAGCTTTCAAAGTTGTAAAACTCTTTTTGAAACACCCTGTATATTAAAACTGCTATACTGCATTAATATGCACTAAAATCATATGCTGTAGTTCACTTAATATAATAAAATAAAATCCATTAAAATTTTCATTACTTTAGTGAAATTCTGTTCCACCTCACAAGGGGTTTTGTCCGTTTGTTTAGAACTGTTCACAATCATGGAATATAAACACGGAAGCAAACACACCACGTGTTACTAGAGGCAACAGCACACAAGCAAGGGGCATATTACAGATTGAAGACGTAACAGAATGTGCTAACAAACATAAAAAAAGCTGCAGCAATAAAACGCCTGGACAGAAACATATAGTTTCTTTTTTAGAACATTTTGTTGACTGCAGGCTACCTTCTCACCTTACAAATACCTGTGGTAACCTCAACTGTAGCAGTACTTATTAACCCTTGTTTACATGATTTGTTGTGGGTGGAATTTCCCACTTTAAAGGGATTTACTTCAGGTGACACCTTTGCAGGCCCCACTAAACCACGGTTGCATGCAGCAGCCAGCAAAGCTGGGTCATTTCAGAGTTTGTCAACAAAACAACCTGAGTGGTAATGCTTCTGGATAATTTACTCTTTAATCTCATCATGGCAAGACATGTGGACCAACACACAGCATAACAGTTTGCAGTTATTTCGGCTGTGGTATTCTGGAGTGGAAGTCATTCGGCTCCATGAGGCCCAGTTGCCTGACACATGCTGCTGTTGCAAGGCGTTCCCACTCCTGGGAGATGACCGACATGAATTTGTTCATGGTATCAGGAAGGCCATGCCCTATATAGTATACATACTGTAACGTGTTTCGTTAATGAATAGGCCGTAGAGATTGTTAACTGGTTTATTCAACAATCTACAACTATCGGCTACAGTTAATTATAACAATGTTACGGGTTTCCACAGTTTACAAACCCTACAACAAAATCTCTTAACACTGTCTTCAAGAGACTTCAAGTATTAATAACGCGGGAGCTATACAAGTCTCCCTGAAATACACACTCTGAGTATAACTGTACTACAGCACTCACTATGTCTGGAAAGCACACAATAAGTCTTCCGCTCACTGACTTCTTAGTTATCGCACACTCGCAGGTTGCTATGTTTCAACTGTTGATAACACACTTGGCGACTGTCACATTACAACTGACTCGGCGACTGTTACGTTCCAACTCCGAACTACAACTGAAGTCGCCGACTGCTAGCATAGAACTCTCTCGTAGCTATATAGCCATGCGCTGTTGCTAGTGTGACGTGGCATATAGCCTAGCAACGCTGATATCTCGCGCCGTCGTACGTCACCGCGGAGGGGGGTAGGAGGGAGCGCTACGTCACCGACACGCGCCTGTGGCCTGAGTTGCCACGTTGCTGCTGGGTAGGGAGGGGTTCTCCGTAGCGCAACATGTTACAATACTGTTCTTTCACAGATTTTACTGAACCATATGCAGCCTGTCTTAGTGTCATTTTTTAACTTGGCCTTTATTGTTATTTAATTTTGCAATCTGTTGAACAGTGGCAGCACAGCTTAACTTTTATTCACTCAGAAACCAACATACATAGGTCATACCGAAAGTCATGAGCAACTCTTTTTTTGCATGCAACCTGGGAACAGCAGACGAAAGAGAGTACAGTGGTAGGTGGAACCAGTTGTTGTGTTAACCTTGAGTGTCTTGTGACATCAATAGCTTGCATCATGTGACCAGTATCACTCCTAACAAAATGGCCGGCAACAGTATGTTATTTCGCCACCGTGCTGTCATCGAATTTCTTGTGAAAGAGGAAATCCCCGCTGCAGAAATTCACCAGAGACTTCAGCGTGTACATGGGTGTGAAGATGGGTGAAACATTTTAAAGATGGGAACACCAGCATTGAAGATGAGCCTCGGAGCGGTCATCCTCGAACAGCCTCAACTGAACAGAACAAGGAAAGTGGATGAGATCATTCAAGGCGTGACTGTGGACACAATAGCCCTAAAACTTGGGCTATAGGAAAGTTTGTGCTCGTTGGGTCCCACTGTTATTGACTGAAGACCACAAAAGTCAGCAAGAAGCCATCACCTCAGAACTGCTGCAGAGATATCGACACGAAGGCGATGATTTTTTGCTCTGTATTGTGACGGGTGACGAAAGCTGGTTTCACCATTTCGAGCCTGAAACGAAACGGCAGAGTATGGAATGGCATCATTTGCATTCTCCATCAAAAAAGAAGGCAAAGACAGTGCCATCAGCTGCAAAGGTGAAGGGCACAGTCTTCTGGGATGCAGAGGGGTTTATTCTGGCCAAATTCCTGGAACCTGGGCAAACCATCAATGCTGCTCATTATGTCCAGACACTGCACAAGCTCCGTCGTGCAGTGTGCGATAAACCTCCAGGACGAAACATCATCATCCTGCACAACAACGTTCACCCCCACACCGCTCACCTCACATTGGAAGCAATTGCAAAGATGGGGTGGGAAGTTCTTCCACGCCTCTCATATAGCACTGATCTGGCACCTTCCAACTACCATCTTTTCGGATTTGTGAAGGATCAGTTGCGTGGACAAAGGTTTGAGACAAGGGAAGCCGTTCAGAAAGCAGTGCATCAGTGTCTTCGGATGGCTGGAACGGAATTTTACAGAAGGGGAATTTTCAAACTCCCAGAACGCTGGGAGAAATGTGTACAAAAAAGTGGTGGTTATGTGGAAAAAGAAAGAAAGGTCTGTAGATTGAGGTGGTGTATTTGGTTTGTGAATAATAAAGCATGTTACTTTACAAAAAGTTGTTGCTCATTACTTTCAGTATGACCCTCGCACATGGGATGGATTCATACACGCAACCACACAAGGGAGTGTGCGCTCCCTCTTCCCTCCCCATCACTCCTTTTTCACCCCCTCATGCCTACCAATTTTAACATCTCACTGCACTGGGGCTTCAAACTCTTTTTTCTTCCTACGAGGATTTTTCATGTTATTTCCTCTCATTTTCCAGAGTACTTTGAATGAACTTCAGCCTGTGCATGGTGAGGAGCAACAGTATTCTTGTGATGAGTGTGGTGATTCATTCAGTCAACAGCTAATTCTGAGAGCACACCAACATATGCATACTGGGGAGCGGCCATTTAGATGTGATGTATGTAATAAGTCATTCAATCAACGGAGTAACCTGAATGCACATCAGCGCGTACATACTGGGGAGCGGCCATTTAGATGTGATGAATGTAATAAGTCATTCAGGTGTAAGCGTAATCTGCAGACACATCTGCGCATACATACTGAGGAGCGGCCATTTGTCTGTGATGTATGTAATAAGTCATTCAATCAACGGAGTAACCTGAATGCACATCAGCGCGTACATACTGGGGAGCGGCCATTTAGATGTGATGAATGTAATAAGTCATTCAGGTGTAAGCGTAATCTGCAGACACATCTGCGCATACATACTGAGGAGCGGCCATTTGTATGTGATGTATGTAATAAGGCTTTCAGAGAACAGAGTCACCTGAAGACACATCAGGGCATACACACTGGGGAGCGGCCATTTGACTGTGATGTATGTAATAAGTCATTCAGTGATCATAGTGCACTGAAGAGACATCAGCGCATACATACTGGGGAGCAGTCATTTGTATGTGATGTATGTAATAAGGCATTCAGGAATCAGGATACACTGAAGAAACATCACCGCATACATACTGGGGAGCGGCCATTTGTATGTGATGTATGTAATAATGCATACAGGAAGCAGAGTACACTGAAGAAACATCAGCGCATACATACTGGGGAGCGGCCATTTGTATGTGATGTGTGTAATAAGGCATTCAGGAATCAGGATACACTGAAGAAACATCAGCGCATACATACTGGGGAGCGGCCCTTTGTATGTGATGTATGTAATAAGGCATTCAGGAATCAGGATACACTGAAGAAACATCAGCGCATACATACTGGGGAGCGGCCATTTGTATGTGATGTATGTAATAAGGCTTTCAGAGATCAGAGTCACCTGCAGACACATCAGCGTATACACGTTGACATGTGCAGTAAATCATAAAGCAGTAGAGATGGGTTTAGACTAAAGGAACAATATGTAATTTGTAGCATTCCACAGTATTTCATGTTGTAGATAAGACAGTTTTGCTGTCTGTTGCATGCTGCAAGATATTGGGAGCTTTTTACTGTTGCTAACCTTTCCAACTGACGGGAATGAACCAAGCCCCATAGTACAACATGTCAGTGTGTATCAACATCTGTTTAATTATAATTATTGACTGTGCACAAGACCCTGTCTTGTTGAGTGGAAACAGACATGACATGATGTTAATCTGCAGTGGAAGCTAGCAGTTAGTAGCATGTAGTGACTGAAATTGATTGGCAGCTTCATTTGTTTTTTGTTCTTTGTTATCTATGCTCTTCCACCACCTTCTGTGAGTAAATTCGTTGATTAGTTAGTTGCAAATTTATATATAATTTGGATTGAGTATAATGAGATGACTGTTATGAATTGGTCAGATGAACACAAACAGTGCTGTATTGGTTATTGCAGACAAAATATTATATTGTGGGATACTTGGTATAATGATTATAAAAAGCAATTTAAATAAAGATGTCTTGAGTCTTCTTGTGGAGAAATAAAATAGTACAGTAAATGTAATTTATAGGATCATGAAGACTTGCATACATCTTTTCATTGTGAATATCAGATAGCAAAGTGCAATGTGAGAGATGTGGATTTTATCAGCGCGTTGCTAGGTGACAAATCTGTGAACACTTTCATGGTGCAACAGGAAGTACGAGTGACATTACATACCCCCACTCATCGCATTGCTGTGTGACACTCGGTAAACAGCCCTCCCCACTAGGCTGTCATCACTCAACAGTAGGCAATCCATGTGTAAACATGCCTGAAAACAATACCTGATATCTGTTGCCAAGCAGCAGTGTGTTTTCTATGTGGTCCATGCCAAGTATTGAGGAGTTCGTAGAAGACATGTGAAGTTTTAAAGGATGATTCTGAAGGCTTTATGTGTGTGACGGTGCAGTGGATTATAAGGTGTATGTAAATCAGCGATAGCGCTGTGTAACCAAGCTGTTAATAAATCCAATCATCCAATCTAGAACCCATAGTTTCATCATGCGTACCCTCCTACACGTGACAATATAAACACACATTAACCACTGGCTCCCAGAGTAACATGAGTGACAAGTTTTCACAAAACTCCAGCATGGTGTCAGCACTGGAACATAAAGATCAATGAAGGGAAGACTCAGGCCATCTACTTCTCCAGAAGGCATAGAATGCCTGAAGATGCCCTACAACTAAATGGAAAGAACATCCCATTTGTAAATAGTATTAAATATCTCGGTGTCACCTTCAACAGGAGGATGACATGGAGACTACACATAGATAAAACCGCAGCCAAGGCCTTGGGCACGTACATTAGGATATACTCTATATTCAAAAGGAAGGACTTGAACACACACATTAAATTAATCGTGTACAGAGCACTAATTAGATAAATAATGTCTTATACCTGTCCCACCTGGGAGTTTATGACAGACACTAACACGTTGCTTCAAACTGTCCTGCTTATAACATCTTGGCACAAACCACATAGAAAACACTGTTTCCACTGTTATAGTCCAACAATACCTCCACCATCGTGTTTATATGCCAATTGCATAGCAATGGCTGCACTCGCTGTCAGTTTTGGGGTCTCTGCCCAGCAACGGGTCTATATGCCACAATATTAGAACCCATCATAAAGAATCAGGCTGGGAGGGCATGGTATGCATTTAACTGGCTCAAGAAAAGAACCAGAGGTGGACTCCTATCAACATGAAACTTACCCATCGGATTCCACGACATGCTGAGCCCCTGTCAGCCTATCGAATGACTCTGCTCCACGAGTTAGTATTGTCAGGTGTTGGTGACTAGACACAGGGCTTGGGTCCATTACTGAATTTACTGGCTGCTTGATATTTGTAACCACAAATAACTAGTTCTACGATTTGCCACAGCACATTCAAAGTCTTCCCAGTCTGCTGTCTTCACGTAATTGTGGTAGCGGCTTTCGACGATGGGAATTCTCTTCATTGCTTCCATGCTCAATGGAACCTTTCTTTGCTTGTTGACCACTAGCTGCTAATCACTATTGTCTCAGTCAGTCAAGTCAATTGCTGCTGATCTTTGCGAGCACAGTCAGAGTCAAGAGGGCCAGCCCACCCAAGTAATTTCCAGTAGTAGTGGGACCCCGCCTCTCGTTGAAGAGGAGGCTCCATCCTTCTTAACAGATGTCTATCAGTTCATTCAGAATTGCATGAGCTGTGGGCCAAACACACAGTCTGTTCCCCTTTGATGAGTCACATATGCACGAGCTGCATGAGATAATCACGACGAACTGCTTCCTGCTCCAACTGTCCCATTATCTGAGCAAGCAAGGCATTTACTTGTTCTAGATCTGCTGCACTTGACTGCTCAAATCTAGCTCTGATCTCTGTGTCACCTCCTGCTTCATCTATCCTCTGTAAGCAATCTTCATGTAGCAAATTAAGTTCACATAAAATTTCAAGAATTGTGGACCATTCACAGTCTGATCCGGGTTCATCTATTATTTGTTGATGATGATGTCTATCCCCATCCATAGTTTATTTTCCTTTGGTGCTAATATGACTCAACCAACCAACAAACAAACAACAGAGTCAGAGTTACTTTACGACTGAGCGGCCTCCATAGTCCAGGGGTAGTGTTCCCACCTCATGACTCAAGGTACACGGGTTCAAACCCGGCTGAGGTCGTGGAATTTTTAAGGGCGGAAAAATTCAGGGAACAAGTCCTCCGGGAGGGACTTTAAGCTGTGGGTCCCGTGTCGTAGCTTTACGGCACGTAAAAGAACCTCATGTCTCAAGGAGACCTCTGAGCCAAATTTGTAAGGACATTTCCCACCCAACAGTAGTTTCTAACACCTCTGGTAGATGGGGGAAGCATCTAGGTACCGCTGAGCTGGCAGAATCTTAATATGTTAGATTTACCGGGGGTACAGGTCAGATGGGACGGAGATGGCATCGCACCAGCAGGTGAATATACATTTTTCTATGGAAAGGGGAATGAAAAATCATGAATTAGGTACAGGTGTTTTCATACATAAGAGAATCATATCAGCAGTTAAGAGGGTAGAGTTCATTAGTGATAGGATATCATAATACTAAAAGGTCACTAGTGTGATATTCTTACGAATGTCCACTCCCCAACAGATGATAAAATTGATTACATAAAGGCCAGGTTCTATGAAGAACTAGAACATGTATTTGATAAATTCCAGAAGTACCCTATGAAAATTTTGCTAGATTTCAATGCCAAAGTAGGGAGGTATTTTCAAACTAACAACTGGGAATGAGAGTTTGCATGAAATTAGTAATGACAATGGGGTTAGAATAGTAAACGTTGCCACATCAAAAAATCTTACTGTCAAAGTACAATGTTCCTGCATCGTAACATCCATAAATTTACTTGGACATCTCCTGATTGGAAGATACACAATCAGACCAACAATATTCTGATAGATAGAAGACGGCATTCAAGTATCCTTCATGTCCAATCATTCAGGGCAGCAGATTGTGATACTGACCACTACCTGGTGGTGGCAAAGTTTAGGGAAAGACTGGCAGTGAGCAAACAAACAACGCATGGAGAAGTTCAATCTCAAGAAATTAAATGAGGTAGAGGGTAAAGAGCAGTATCGTGCTGAAATCTCAAATAGGTTCACTGCTTTGGAAAACTTGGACTCTGAGGTGAATGTTAATAAAGCTTGGGAACTATTAGGGAGAATATCAAAATTTCTGCCAAGGAGAGTCTAGCTTATTATGAACTGAAGAAGCATAAGCCATAGTTTGATGAAGGATGCTCAAAATTACTAGACCACAGAAAACAAGCCAAATTGCAATGGTTACAGGATCCAAGCGAAATAAATAGGGATATTCTGAACATTATAAGATGCAGAACCAGCAGGGATTTCGGGAAGAAAAAGAGGGAATATTTGAAAACAAAACTTGATGAGCTTACAATGAACAGTAAGAACAAGAACATTGGAGACCTGTACATAGGACTAAATGACTTTAAGAGGGGGTTACCAACCTAGAAGTAACTTAGTAAAGGATGAGAATGCCGATCTGCTTGCAGATTCCCATAACATTTTGAATATGCTGAAGAACTACTTCTCTCTTATTGAATGTACATAAGGTCAGTGATGTTAGGCAGATAGAAATGCACACAGCTGAGCCGTTAATAGCTGATCCTAGCCCTTTTAAGGTTGAAAGTGCTATTGCAAAATTGAAAAGATATAAATCGCCAGGCAGTGAACAAATTCTGGCAGAAATTATTCAACCAGGAAGTGAAATATTACGTTCCAAGATCCATAAGCTAATTACTTCTGTGTGGCATAAGGTAAAACTGCCTGATCAGTGGAAGGAGTATATTATTGTACCAGTTCACAAGGGTGATAAATCTGACGGTAGTAATTATCGGGGGACATCACTGCTATCAACTGCGTACAAAATTTTATCCAATATTCTTCTCTCAAGGTTAAGTCCATATTTAGATGAAATTATTGGGGATCATCAGTGTGGGTTTCGATGTAACAGATCACCTACAGATTAGATCTTTTGCATTCGTAAGATATTGGAGAAAAAATGGAAGTATGATGACAGTACATCAGCTATTCGTAGACTTCAAGAAAGCCTATGATTCAGTTAGGAGGGAAGTATTGTACAATATTCTGATAAGAGTTTGGGATACCCATGAGACTAGTTATGATGATTAAAATGTTTAAACGAAACTTATAGTAATGTCCGTATAGATAAACATTTGTCTGATAAATTTCCTATCCAGAATGGTCTAAGACAAGATGCTTTATCGCCACTCCTTTTCAACTTTAGAATATGCCATTAGGAAGGTCCAGGAAAACCAGGTGGGACTGAAATGAAATGGGATACATCAGCTGTTGACCTATGCCGATGATGTGAATCTACTGGGTGATAATACAGATACCATACAGAAAAACACACAAACTTTAATTGACGCAAGTAAGGAGGTTGGTCTAGAAGTAAACATAGAGAAAACTATTATTTTTTTATTGCTAGTGGGGTGGGACTAAGTCCCTTGTACTGAGGCCACTTCTGGCTTATTGTACCAGCCCCAGATGATAAGTGAGGGTGATTGTGGAGCAATTGGTGGAATGAATATTGGCAGGGGAAACCGAAGTACACTGAGAAAACCTGACCCAGCGCCACTTTGTCTACCAGAAATCCCACCTGACCAGACCCGGGATCGAACCCGGGATGCCGCGGTGGGAAGCCAGCAACTAGCCCCTTCAGCTATGGCATGGTCCCTGGACAAAACTAAGTATATGTTGCTGTCTCGTCACCAAAACGCAGGGCAAAATCATGACACGATAGAAAACAGGTGTTTTGGAAATTTGGCAAAGTTCAGATATTTGGGAACGATAACAAATCAAAACCTGTTTCAGGAGGAAATTAAAAGGAGATTGAACTCGGGTAATGCTTGCTACCATTCAGTCCAGAACCTTTCGTCTTCTCATCTGCTGTACAAAAACATAAAAATGAGAATACAGAAAACTATAATTTTGCCTGCTGTTCTGTATGGGTGTGAAACTTGGTCTCGAGCTTCATAACTTGTACTCATCTCCAAGTATAATTAGAATGATTATGTCAAGGAGGATGAGGTGTGCAGGGTATGTAGCATGAATGGGGGCGAAAAGGAAGGCTCATGGGATATTGGTGAGAAAGCCAGAAGGAAATAGACCACTGGGAAGACTAAGGCATAGGTGGGTGGACAATATTAAAATGCATCTTACAGAGATAGGATGGGATGGTATGGTATGGATTGGATTGATCTGGCTCAGGATATCGACCGGTGAACATGGTAATGGACCTTCAGGTTCCATAAAATGCTGGGAAGTTCTTGAGTAGCTGCAGATTTGGCTCCTCCTTAAGAAGGGCTCAGCTCCATAACTAAGTATGGTGTAACCCATAAATGTGTATAATAAATGCTTTCTGAGATATATCATTTTGGATACCTTTCATCCATACACACTGTATTATCAATCCACCTATGTCTTGGTCTTTCTAGTGGTCTCCTTCCTTCTGGCTTTCCCCACCAAATCATCTATGCATTCCCCTTCTCCCCCAGGGACACACTATATTAATATGGCAGTTAAGATGTATCTCCTTGGTTGAGTGGTAGTAGCCTGTTTTCCAACCATCTGCACAACATGAATAGACAAACGCATTATTTATCAGTTATTTACTTCTTTAGAACCACACGTTTTGGTTAATTAACGTACATCAGGTGGATATTTCTACAAATAAAAAGCAGGTAAGTGAATTGCTTATTACTGACTACACAGCACCAGATGCATCTGTATGCGCAGAAACATAGCGTTCAACCAGCTTGAAGTACATACAGCCTGTTTTAAAGTAAAAAGCACATACTTCCACAACTGCAGGATTTTATAAAAATCTAGACACATTTCTTCCCAATGTAGGGATCTTTATTGATCAAAAGAGGGAACCCTACTAGCAACAAAATTTGTGCCCTCATCTTTATTTTTTGAAACCAACTGATAAAAAAAATCATACACTTTTTTCATGTTTTTAATTCTCTTTAAACATCCTCATCTCTTATCCAGTCACACAACATATTAACTAACGCCCACATCTGAACAACTGTTTATTTCCAACTTTTCCTTCGGTTATGTACTGTCAAAGGAATGTCTCTTAAGTCTTGAGCACTGGTTATCACTGTTGCAGTCACAGGACTGAAAAGTGTGAAGGTTCCAAATGTGAATTATACATACAATTCCCATCCTTACCTCTTACATGGAGGTCTAACTGACATGATCAGATTAATCTACTGACCAATCAATCATCACAATAATTTTATGTGCCACAACAGTCTACATTCATAGCATTAGCAATCAAATTCCTTGAAGGAAGACGCTCTTCATGTGTTGATACTGGAAGTGCAGTTAAACAGTTATCTAGATGAGGCTAAAACTATTCGTGCAATATTCAAGCATACAGAGTTTCTTGCCCTTTAAACAAATGAATGTTGAGCTAACAAAGTTCTATAATCTAAATACACAAATACATGTTTCTCAACAATATCCATCTTCCAGTTTTTATTTAAAGCACAATGTTTCAGAGACTTGATTCTGGCCTCCATCTCCCAAGATAGGGACCAGCTCTATCAACAGGGCCCAAATGAGTACGTTTTACCTGAAGATGGAGATGGAATCCAGCCTCAAAAATGTTGTTTCAAATACAAACAGGTTGATATATAATGCCCAGAAACACAACAATTGTATTAATGTACCTCTGTCACAAACTTTTAGATCTTAATCTAAATACAGTAGTAAAACACCTCAATCAGTTATCTACATCTCACACTAGTTGTGGTTTAGCTACAACTTCAAACCATCTGCATCAAAAGCCTTACCAACCACACAACAAATTCTTCGTATGTTATCATCTCTTGCACAATTCAGCACTCACACTTCTCACCTTCCCTGTGCAATTTCATCAATATATCAAAAGCAAACACTCATCTCTTCCTATTTAGTGGAACACTACGTTTCGGCCCAACTGCCTGCCATCATCAACAGCTACATAAACACAAAATTTTTACCAAAACCCACATGTGCACACAACAAAATAATCACGGCATGGTATTTTAAAAATAATTTAGAACAGTTTATAGTATTTTACACTTCAAAATGAATGCACAGTGTTGCAGCGTGCCAATGGGACAGCAGTCTCCTCTAGTGTCTTTATTAACAGGAAGAGATGGATGCTCTGCACAGGGCCAGTCAGAAGTGCAACTGCTAATTCCAATCTAATCTCAAATCCCTGGTCAGGCAGGGTTGGCAACCATTCAATACTACAGGCTAAACACAATCAATCACTCTGTGTAGAAGCTATGATTCCTAAATCATGAACAACAGTTACCACAAAACATCTTTAGGTGATAAAGTACTTCCATTCATTAAGCTATTTAAATATGGGGGAAAGTTTCTTCATAGGCTGTAATAAAAAACGGTATAGTACACGAAGTTATGTGAAAATAGAATCAATCTTATCACATAAACATTCTCCAATGAGGCACTTCCATGGGTGATGGAGAACTGTGCTTGGAATCTGAAGGCATATGTATTACTTAATGTGATATACCAGTACTTCTACCACAGGCCTAGATGTAATCAGAACTTGGAACTGCACGATTTGATGCTAACAAGTTATACTCAATCAAGATGATGAGAACCTAAACACCCACCGCAGCTACCCTATACCAACACAGTTTATAATATACTCTAGATAACATTAAGATCTCCTATTCAATGATTATTACTCCTTCATTAGAAACAACATGAGCTGAATCATGTCTTATGATGAAATGGTATGGTATGGTAAAATAAAAAGAAAACTTGGCAACCGAAATTTTGAACATGTTTGAATATACAAACACAAACTGGAAGTATTATTTGCACAGCAAAGGAAAGAAACATTAACTATCACCAACAATTCATTCATGGACTGAAAATCACCATGATAATGATATGGTACTTCCCAGCTGTATGTCTTCTGTCATAATATCACCTACACTGCTTCCGACCAGTATGTCATGTGGTTTTATATAATGTACTACTGAATTCCCACACACGCACCCCTATCCATGTTGACTTGCCTCACTACATAACAGCAAAATCAAGACTTCCGTTACGATGGCCTGGAGGTGTAGCAGGTCAGTCACCACAACTATAACATAAATTACAGTCATGACACTATGAAAGATTATAGAAAAGGCTGATGAAGAGAACTAGTCTAATTTATAACATAATGTAATGTAATCTGCTACACTAATATAATACAATTACAAAAACCCTGGGGAACAAGGAAAGGAAAGTCTTTGGAATATTACAAATAGCAGCTCCAGTAATCTGCTGCCAATCACAGCACATTATCCGTCAAAGAAACCCAACACTGTTGATCCTGTTATATGAATGAAAAAATCGAAGACAGTAATATATGCATTACAGAAATATCCTTTAGCTGTTGGCCCTTCCAAATGCGCTGAAAGTCACTAAAAAACTAGAGTACTATGAGGGCTATTAACCAAACTAAATACTGTTACAAAAATAAACACACATTTTCTGTAAGGACAAAATATGTTCAATCAGACAACTATATTTTGCAAAGTCATCATGTATCCAGTATTCCATATCCTGAATGTGACTACTAAACATATACCATTATTTTTATAACATCCAGCGCATCCTATACATCCAACAAGTATACAAAGCCATGCACTTTAACCGTACTTCCAACTGAATATGCAGATGTATGTTCTCAGGATGTCTTCCCTGCAAAGTGGGACTCTCCTTCCAGCAATTCAACAAATAACTTCAACTTTCAGGATTCTGCAATAAAATATCACTCAATAAGATATTGGAATATTTTAACAGAAGACGCTATACTATTAGATGGCGATTAAAATTAACCAACAAGAAACTCCATACACTTGAATATGCACTACACCATTCCACTTTAGCATCCATGACATTTCAAACCCAATAGCAACACAAACACAAATCCCCGTTCTCAAACAACTTTCATTACAAATTTAACCTCGGATTTTAAAATTCTCAGTTGCTTTCCGTATTTCTTCTCTTCTTTCACAAAGAGTTTTTCTCAGAGTAACTTTGTTCAACATTTTGTAGTCACATAAACCATGGCCATGGAATTTAACTTGATGGTGCATCTTCGGACGTGGGGAAGACTGGAATGCTTAAACACTATCCGAGATCTTCTCGATACTTTGTGGCACCAAACTGTGGTCCATGTATCCAAAACTCTCGAAGGATTCACTTCTTAATATCTAAGTTATTTATACTTTTTTGTTTTCATAAATTCTAACTACTGCTGAGGCTGAAACATAGCATTCTAGCAAATATTTACAAGGAACTTGACAGTAGCACATCACGAAGGGAGAACATATCCAAGTCAATGTTACCTTCCCAATCAAACAGAACTCAGCTCTGTAGATGAGCCACCTCTCATCAGTTCACAGGCGCTCAGTATTCTAGTCATCCCTTTCTTTCCTTTCCTTCTTTTTCTTTCTTTCTTTCTTTCTTTGGAGAGAAGATAAAAATATCTACATTCTACAAAAACACAGCACACTTTCTTAACATGACAACAAGAAAAAGACTTCTACGTTATTTTCACAAAAAAGTTTTATAACAAAATAAACTTTTCTTTTTTAGTTATTATCATAATTTTTAATAATATGCTTTACTACACTTTGTCATATGGCTTGGTTCCCTGTCCCTAATCCAATGATCTGCTAATTCAAAAACGTACATATCAGGCATTCTTGCAGAGTGGAAAGACACTCAAACAGCTATGGCTGTGTGTATTTCTATATTCACAAATTTTCTCAGGATCCATCATGGATGCTGTTGCAGAGCATCATCAATCTGACAATCCAATATTAACATTATTGGCAATAAGTAAAAATGTAATTAGTAGTTTCCCAATCCTGACATTTTGCTTAAACCTTAAAACATGCTGCCTGAAACAATGAAACAACTAAACAATCTCAAACCAACAAACAATTAAACGGAACTGGGAAGGCTCCCTTAACATAAAATGAACAGAAAATTATCTTCCATTGGATGTTATAACATCAATATCAAACTACGGAATGAACAGCATCCATCGTCTTAGGAACATCTCTACATGTAACTACATCCATTTTGGAAAGATACATAAAGACTAGGACTTCCCTTTATGAGGTGGTAGAGATGAAGAAAAAAAACTAAGGGCACTTAAACTTGACCAATATTTGGGGCTCATTCTCTTCTCCGCTATGATCGCTGCCTGCCACCCGCTATGACTCAGCCTCTCCAATGCTATAAACTACCAAATTCTATTCTAATGCAACTCACTGTTGCCATTCACTTAACACCTAATATGACTACAGACTGCTTTTTTTTTTCTTTCACACAGAAAACATTAAACCACACTTCTAGACAAACACGACAACTAGTTCTCTTAGATTACTGACATGAACTTAAATGACACACATTACAAAAGAGAAGGCCAGGGAACTTACACAATATTGTACAATAAAATGAAGAATCACCTTGACCTCTAAGTTCTACATATGTAGTTTCACATTAGAACATTATGTGAAACTTGCATTTCTCCCCATTAAAAGCCTACAACCTTCTTTTACCTCAGTCAGAATTTGTATTAAAAAAAACACTACTAACCCTACCAATGATCCAATGTACCTACTCTTATCTACATCTAAAGGAAAAGCAACAATAGCATCCAAATTCCACTCAGCTACATTTACAGTACAAACTATTTCTACAATTTTTTATAACTAACTCTAAATTCTAATCCTTGCACCTAGATTAATCAGGTGCAACTTTCAGATTTTTTTTGTAAAGCTGTGTCCTCGTTTTCCTTACAATATGGAAACTAACACTGAAAGTCGTTTTATTATTTAATTCACATCATCATCGTCATAATCATCATAATCTGTTGAGATGGTGCTGCACACAAGTGTCTGTTCATATGGCTTTTCCTTAAAGACAAGAAGAGCGGAATAAAGTTCTATCATCTCAATTAACAAACAAGTCTCTCTGTGTAAATGTTGTCAAAACCCTAAAAAAAGTGTGTACCTCTTGTTTTCTGTCTTCCTCTTCTTGATCACGAAACACATACTCATGTAAATACAACACACGATTTTATTTAATATTCAATATGGACTCTTTTCTGTCAGTAATGTGATTCTTAAAAAATAGTTACCATCTCACCATCGAATTCAGATGTACCAAAATAAACTAAATATCTCTTATTTTTACTTCATCAGTTTTAACACTGTAAAATCTTTTCCGCAGTTCTCAATACAGTAAATACGATGCATGCACTATGGAAACATTAGCTCTAACCTCTACTAAAACCTGATTCTTTCAGTAATAGTAATCGCTCCAGAACCAGATTTCTTAATGGCAACAACCGGAACAATCTGAGCTACTGGGTATCACAACCAAGAAACCAGATTCTGGGAAAACTGATAAACAATTATATTTACTTATATTATTAACGAATTCTCTAGCAAACACTCATGACTTAACAGCATGATGGTATCTGTCAGACAATAACCAATTAACTATTAACTACAGTTGGTTTACATTGTTTTTTGGCTGAAAGCTATTCTCTTAATAGTTCCTGTATCATCAGTTTGTCATTCATTCACTGCTTCATGTCAGCAGTGTATCCGAACACCCATCCTTAACTGAAGCTATCTTTTCCACTAAGAAATCCATACCGATTTCTTACGACTTTAAATGCTTCTTCTAACTTCAAAATTATGCAAAAATCTATACTTTCAAAAAAAAAAAGTCCACAGTAAAGTTCGGTAAGTAACCAATCAATGGAGATCTCACTGCAAATTCCATTAAGAATAATTTTTACAAACATGATTCAGTTAATTCGGAAATATCAAAACCTCTCACTACAGGATCAATGTGTTTATCTGCTATAATGAAATATCTCCATTACCATCCACAGCTTTAGTCACATAAAGAACTAGGCTCAACTCTAGTTCAACTTAATGTACATTTTTGAACTGCTACAACACTGAAACAATTAGCAACTAGAAGATAAATTTGGCTTCGTGATTAGTGTTTTATAATATATATAATTATTTCCCTGTCTTTGAATTATCATGAAAAGGCACAATATCTAAAAAAAACATGTCTTTAAAAAAGAACGAAATAGTTTAAAAACTCGTTTCACGCATGGTTGATATAGGCATTTTTCATAAAAAAAATAACACTGGAAAAAACCCTGCACTAACAACAGTTAAAGTCGTAGAAAAATATGAAACACAAAATAATTTACTACAAGGCAACATGTTCATGCTTGCCATTTGATTGGAATGTGAGAAAATGAAAAGGTATGGGTCACTGAGTTCTCCATACAACATTCATACTTCAAGTTCTGCTTTCTTCTGTCAGCAAGTCTCTCGCCAATACTGGCAACTCAGCAATTTCATTCTGGGACTGAGGAGACCTGAGCTGCTGCATCTTCTGTCCTCAGGATACAGAATTTTAGAGACTGCCAACTGAGCAACCATGCTGAATACAGAGACAAGCAAGCGCTTTGTTACACAAATGTCCAGCATTCTGACTAATTACCTTTACTTTACATGTGAAAAGTTAATGACAGATTCAAGTCTCAATTCGGTCATTTTTTAGACAGGTATAAACAACGTGGTGACCAAGAATTTTGATAATCAAACACAGAATTCACATCTCGTGATACCATTACTCTAGCTCACAAAAACAATCAGCATTCCTACCTACCGTACTGAAGAAAGAGAACTGATATTAGGATGTATCAGTACAGACAAGAATCAAAACATGTACAAAATAAAATTTAACTCGTTTGAGTTTTAGCTTTGGAAGGTATGTCGGAAGAAATCTTTGATGTGAGCAGCATTTATGTTCTGTTATTTTTAAGGGTTAACAAACCCTATTTTAATTAGTCTTCTCGACTCCACTAACATGGCTGCAAGATGTTCCATGGCATGATTAGCTACAAAACACCAAACATGTGTATTTATTCTGCAAGGGAAAAGTAAACTTAGCTACAGCTACAAAGCACCAGAGCAAACGGCCATGGGCTACTATCGATCTGTTTCACAAGTTCATTCACATTGTAGATGCAATAAATCCTACTACGAACATGCTCTCATTCTGGCACATTTCCTTCCTTCCTCTGTGTAGAATTTTTTCATGGCACACATTCTACATTAGAGAAATAAGGAGCTCAAGAGATGGCAGCATATATATATATTAAAAATTGGAAACAAAATTAATTTTACATCACATTGTATGTAGTACCACAGCTTCTGGACTTGAAATGGCACTCCACTCTAAGTTATTCCTTAAGGTGGCATCTAGTACTATTCACAATTTTCTGTGAAATGAAGAAGAAATCTTTTCAAAGCTTCATGGATTAGCTCAATCTGTTATACTTAAGAAACAAAGTTAACCACAGGAAATGAATCAAAATTATGAATTTTCCATATAGATGAATACTTCCCAGAAAGTTATATATGCATTTTTGATGGTTCATGCTGCCAATGCAACTAACTGCTGGGGCATGTGGTAAATTTTGTAAGTTGTGCCAACATAACACAATGCACCCAGTACCTGTTTAACTGATATTAAACATTATACATCAATAAATTCATTAAATTGGTACTACTGAATTAGACAAAAACAAAATTGGACAACAGCAAAATATATGGCAATCTCTTTTAAAGTATAAAACAAATAACTGGTACAGAAGCATTGAGTAATTCATGAAATCTAACACTGATTAACATAAAAAGTAGAAGAATATTTGTATTGCCCTTCCATGATATGTTTCTTCTGAATGCTTGCAACATTACTGACATGAATGGTACTTTATATATCAATGTTCATAAGCAAGTATCGCTTGCTAACAATGCCATGGAAAATCCTTGGCATCCACTTCCCATACAACCATTCTAACCTCTCCTATAATTCAAAAGAAGCTAATATTAATAATAAAAAAATATGATACAACTGGAAACTCGACAGCATAGCTAAACATATCTCCACACTACAATAAAAAAATAATAAACTATTTTCTTATATATATTTGTTTATTATGTTTCACTGATTAGCAGATGGTGGCAAGTCCGGGGTTGCTTCCAGGATGTGGCAATTCTTCATGTTCTTCATTCTCCCACAATTCTTCAAACTGACTGGCTTATTCAGGTCATGTCTCATCAGGAAATCTCTCATCTTTCCTTCACAGCAAAAAAAAAAAAACATTCACCCAAATCTTGACATGGTTCCATTCATTTCCCAAATGGATTTCTGTTAACTTTCTTAATAAAATCTGAAACAGAGGGCAAGCAAACATGTTATTTGCCGACAGCCTTCAAACTGAAAACAGCCAACTTCTCTAGCATCATAAAATATAAGGCATGTCATAGTAATCCAGCTCAAAATAAAATAGAAAGAGCCTGAAAATTCTGCAAATTTCTAGCATCCAGCAGATGGTTTCTGGAGTACTCAGGTATCAATAGCAAACAGGTCTGTGTAACAGATCAACCGAATTCAATGAGTACACGGATATGGGGTGCACATAACTTAACGAGTTTCATTTATTCAAGTCTGTAGAACTGTTCAACTACATCATCCTCTTTGACCAACCGATGCATGCGCGCACACGGAGAGGGAGGGGAGTCCTCGAACAATATATGTGTGCGCACATGCACAAATATGGAGAGGGGGGGTTATCTGTCAAAACTTTTAGAGAATTCCTGTCCCTTGTTCTTGTTACTTCCAGAGAAATGAAGAAAGAGTCAGCCTGTTTCTGCTATGACATGACCACCCTTGCAACTGTATGCAACACACATAAAAACTGTTTTTGTGTGATAAAGAGAAGGCAGTTTTATCCTCATTCTGAGCTTAGAACCCTCCCGGAGGAGGGGGGGAGGCAAGCATGCATGTGAAGAATGAAATGGGATGCAGTGTGTGTGCTGAGTGAACTACAAGTCAGTTCACTTCCAGCAGGAAGACATTGAGCAAGGTATCACTTTGGCGACAGAGCTGACAGAGCCACTGTTCATACTGTATGTATGTATGTACGTTTATTGTATAAGCTTGAAATTATAAGATGAATATTCATGGGAGGATCCATGTGTGAGCAGAGCATCCCAGGCTTTAGATGTACTACAGAGAGGGTGCTTACATAATAAAGAAGGCGTGATAGCAATTTAATTGGTATTCTCTGGATCTTCCCCCCAGTGTCAGGATGCAGCTGGACACCTTACGTACCTCTTCAAACCAAAGGCAATTCAAAGAGGCCCATACCACAGGCAGCCACCCCACAAAAAAGAAACCAATAACAGTTATATTGTCCCAGATGCAGCCTCACCCCTATGCCACAGTATGACTTCTTATGACCCTAAGGGGAAGTATACTTTGACAGAATTTCTCATCCATGATCATATGCGCAGTCCAACTGAGTACGTTTGCTAAAAGTTTTCTTATCATACAATTATTTGAACTCAAACTCTGTATTAGTTGGGCAAAATCTTATCTTTTTAACTGAGATGATGAGTACTATTTTTTTAAGTTGGGATACATTAGACACACTGTGAAAACCATCACATGCACTGAATTCAGGTTTACTGAAGTCTGATTACATACTAGAGTGCCAGGACAAACATTCCTTTCTGAATATGTTTCAACAATTCTTTCTCTCTTTTGCCAACATAAATAACTACACTGACGTAATATATTTCTTCACAAAATGCAACAGTGCAGATACCAAACAATGTAGCTAGTGCTGCACAGGTCACTTGTTCTACTAGTGGGCATGATCTTATGGGTCAATACTGATTCAAAATAAAGTACAATCCCAGAGACTACAACCCTTACTGCAAAGACTAGTTAGTGGTAGTTACACTTAGTAAAACTGTCATTTACAGGAAACCTCTCTGTAAGCATATTTTGATCCATGCCATTATTTTCATTATACTGTGCACATTAAATCTGGGTAGTTCAATGTTTTGGTACCAGACTTGAAAGGCACTGCTCACTCCAGCAGTACCAACTCCTGTTTCACTTATGTTCTAGGTACAGTACTACACAATGCAGGGGTTTCGTCTTCATTTTATTCATTTACAATATTTAATTTCTGAGAATTGTGTTCCATAAAAAAAAAAAAGCAGAGGGCAAAGTCAGAAAAATCAAATATAATCTTTCCTTCTCCTCCTTCATCCCTCCACCACCACCAACACAATCTGCTTCCCCTTCTACCTGCCTCCTGATTGGCCACCAAGGAGTTTGCATTGGAATCTGTGTAAATTAGTTGTGTGCACTGAAATTAAAACACATTTTCAAGCTTGCAAATAACAAGGAGTATCTGTACTTACTTTTTGTTTCAAGCTATCCTTCCCTGAGACATGCTACTTAATGAAAATAACAAACATCATGGATCAAATTAAGTTACAGTTTGCAGTTCGTGACATTGTTATTTGTGACAATATACTCACTCACGTATGCAATACATTTCAAATAAAACCTTGCATTCTTCATGCATAAAAAACTGATGCTATGATTTTAACATACGTTCAAATGAGACCACTTCGAATGTTTTCTGAATTAGTTCCGCAGAACATCTTCTGTAGAGACGTGTATCATACAGTAGACCCTGGGGTGGGTTCCCACTGAGGAAACATTCCTTCCTTCAATTAATGCAGATTGGTTAACCTCACTATCTAGGCCTTCATCAATTTCTTCATGCTCTGCATGCGTTTCTTTTTACATCACTAATGTCTGTACAGTTGTTGGGCAAAAGGTGATTTGGATTTAAAAAAAAAAAAGGTGACAAATTGTGTACATCCATTATTTTGACAGTTATTTCACTGCATGTAGCTGCTGTAATACACTCAGATTAAGATTTAACTGCAGCAAACTGAATAGAGCAGCCATGATATAGTGCAGGTTGTTAGGCACTTGCTCCTCACCACAGACCCTCAGGTTCAATCTCAGGTGATTTCATACAAGTATATACAAGGTTCATACAAGGTGGCCGAAATGGCACTGGACCAGGTTCTCCTCCAAGCCTCCTCAGTTTCCCCTCAGTAATAATAAAAATCATTCCATGATCGCTCCCAGGCATCTCTCATTACCACTGAGATGTGTGATAGCCCTGATCAGGCAGTACATAATGACATCCTTTGTCTTGAAGTGGGTTGGNGGGGGGGGGGGGGGTCTTGGGACTTTGACCTGGCACTTGGCTGGTTACAGAGTAAGGTAAGTAGTCAAACTGCCCTACAAACAATTGAGTATCTTTACATCCATCGACACAGTTTCTCATAAAAATATACAAATCTTGAGATTACTTACATTAAAATCTAAAAACCTTAAATGAAACACATGTTCTGACCCTTACTGGGTATCATCAGGTGTACTGTCTGTGCTTAGGTGCTGAACTTTTTTTTTAATATGGATTCATATTTTCAATGTGACCATATAACATGTAATATTGTGCTTGGTAACAAAACTCTTGGTATTATCTCCTTTTTAGTCCAATCATGTACATATAATTACTTAAATCACTGTATATCTAGTGGAAGGTTACAATTAGGATTAAAATATATGCATATATCTATTAGTTATTTTGTTGGTATACTAGTTGCTCTGGTCTGGTTCCTTCCTTGGTGGGTACGATGTTACCAACTCTTCTTGTATATTCACATGTGTTATCTCTAATTTAACGAGGTTGCAAGTTGGGTGCAGTAGGACTATCGTACAGACGTTAACATATGGTATATGGAGAATTCCCGTATTGTCTTGAATGCAGGTGGTCTTTTGGACTGACACACATATGGTGCTGAAAATCAGGGGTGGGGGATGAAAAAACTGCTGGAATTTACCCAGGGACATAAGCTTGATAAATGAGGTATTTTCCAAATTCTAACATGTGAATCATGACCACTAATAGACAGTACCCCATGCAGCTGTCTACTACTTACCACATGCTTGCTTACTTGGGTGGCTGATTTTGGTAAGGCTGGTAAGTGTCATCAGGTGAGGCAGCATTGGAAGTCTGTTCAGAGTCTGCAATGGGCACAGCATGGATGATGGACGCACCCGGGCCAGGGTAGAACTGGTATGGATGGGGGCTTGCAATGTACTGCAAACAAAGAAACATAAATGTACACACATTAAAGCTACTACACATATTATTACTTCATTCTTCAGTGTAGCACATCCTGTTTTATGTCTGACATACAACATACAATTTGAAGAGTATGGGGTGTACAGCCCTCTGGGTTGAAATGCCATGTAGATCAGCAAAACAGTGATTGTGTTTCTGGCATTATCTATCATCCTGTTTTTATTTAAAACACTCAACTGGGCCAAATTAATAGAGCTAAGTCCTACCTCCAGATGATAGGGTCAAGCTCTAGTGATTGCGACCAACCAGATTCCACCTGAATATGGAGACGAAATCCAGTCTCCAAAATGTGAATTTTAAATAAAAACAGGACGATTTATAATGTCCAGAAACACAATAATTGTATTAATATTTACTGTGACTCTGGCTTTTTGTTGCCATCCTCTGCCTTCAGACTTGTCAGGAACTGCAGTAATATTTTCACTCCTCCTGCCTCCAACACAGTTTTCTTCTTCTGAAAACCACTAGTCTTGTCTGGAAGTAGATTGGAAAACAAACCACCCTCATTTGTATTAAATATATCCTTCAGATAGTGTTCACTCTGAAGTGATGGAAGCACTCAGTTCTGTAGTTAAGGCCTGCAAATTTTCTGAATCAATTGCACCAACCATTTAGAGATGTGCATTTAATACTTAGTTTTAAGGCCTTCGGTCTTCTGCCTCAACATCACACCCCAAATTTTCTGCCTCAAACCACTCTAGAAGCACTCATTCCATCTTCTCATATTTAAAGCATGTTTTCCTTGTTGACCATATTACTATTTAGCGTCCACACAGGTACAGTAATGTGTTCTGTCTTAACCGCTCAGCGTGGTTTGACGTGTATGTTTCGTCAAGGTATTTAAATCATCTGCGGGGGTTCGACGTCTATGTATCGTCCAGCTGCACACCTATGTTATAACGCCCATAATAATTGATGGTTTTGCTGTAGATTGTTAGATTTTTCGCTGGCCTGTTGTCAGAAGAACAGTATATAATGAAACATGACTTTAGCTGCGTTAAGTCATCGTTACATATGCCTGTCTTGCAGCAAAATCCTGTTGCTCTTGGAAGAGATTTCCTCATTCAAACTGTTATGAATGGCGTGTTTTCTTTCCTATGAAGTTATAAACAGCAGAGACGATATGTGCTGTGTTTATAATATCATATTGCCCTGAGCTGGCCACACTAACACACTCAATTAGAATTCTTAGAAGAGGGATGTCCAGAAGTTTATTCTTGCAAGATCCATTGATTTCACACAGTACATAGCAGCAAGTTCTTAGAATAACGTCACGAATTAAGACAGAACACTGTGGTCACCCCCTGTGGGGGGGGAAGAACTCATTCCTTCCAGTTGACTCCATTTTATCGTACTGACCTTGGTGGGCCTTTCGAGGGATGACCATAAATATTTTTTTGAGCCAGCTAAGCTCTGCTTTCGTGCACTACATACCAGCCGGTTCTTAGAATAACTTCATGAATTCTGTGGTCACCCCTATGACATCTGCTGCAGCCAAAATGGATGGAATATGAAACGCATAGCACCAACCACCAACCCCTTGTTATGATAACATAAAGGTTGAATTTACTGCAGCTGATCTGGCAAGCTAAACTCACAGAAAGACATTTCCTTGTATTCCCCCTTTGGGAAGAAGGCAAGACCGCACAGAAGATGTGTGGTTTACGGAAAAAAGGGCCAAATGAAAGACACGCAGTATTGGTGTGGTGAATGTGAGACAGCGTTGTGTATAGAAGAATGCTTCAATGCGTACCATACACTGCTCAAATTCTAAACCACCTGCTTCCATTGCCGAGATACCGGGTGCTCATATTATAAGGTAAGGTTATAAAAACCATCTTTTAAGATCATTTTAGTGAAAGTTTCATGCTTCAAGCCGTACCATACACTGCTCAAATTCTAAACCACCTGCTTCCATTGCCGAGATACCGGGCGCTCATATTATAAGGTAAGGTTATAAAACCACCTTTTAAGATCATTTTAGTGAAACTTTCATGTTCCTATCTTATATAATTTAAGAACAATGATGAATAAATCATTTTCGAGCAAAATTTAAATGGTCGGCTGAATATATTACCGTCGGAGAGACACGGCAGCAGAATTTAAATGACCACACTAAAGGGTTAATGATCACCAGTTTATTAAAACTCACGTATCATGAAGCCATGCATTCTTGCACACAAGGACTACTAGCATGCTACTTGGCTAGGGGGATGGTGATCAGAAAGTCACCACTAATTCTGACCAACTCCTTTCTTCCACTCACTGTGTGCTACTGAATGCTGCTATGTTTGAATTATGTAAGTACGTACTTTAGTTCTCGTCTGTTTCTGTATATGCAGAACATAATCCAACAGAACCTTATCAATATCTGATGAATGTCCCTAAAACTGTTCATTAGGCCGGATATGTTCCAAACGAGACATAAATAAATTACTCTTATGGTACTGCTTCTGGAACCCAATCATATATATAAATGTCTTTATGTGCAAAACCATTTTAAATGAAGTCTTCTTAAGAAAACGTCCCACGCTGTATACCTCGATGCGAAGTCTTTCACTTTATGTGATCCAATGCCAGTCTACTTAATGCAATTTGTGAGAACCTGTACTTTTGTGGCATGTGTAGCCAGCCACTACTGCCTTGTTCCTTCTTCACACAATGTTCCAGATGTTCACTGTCACACATCACATGAATAAAGGAATTGTATATCCTGGAATGTGATTGATAACACAAAATTTGGCAGAACCCCCTGGGATATAACAGTGTGTAGTCAGATGCAAGTCAGCTGATGTTTTGAAGGAACATGTCACCTCCAGCTTCAGGGTCAAAGAATAAGCAAGCCAAAAAGTTGGTGTCAAAAAGGTGGCAAGCAGAACCCACTCTGGATGCCATAAGCATCTGTCCAGCAAAACCAATGGTTCTTCTGTGACGATTAGACACAGAGGTTAAAACTTTCAAATAAAAACTTAATTTAATTTAAGGAAACAGGTGGTGAAGCTGTTCTTCAAAACAGGTTAAGTTGGCAGGGGGAATATAATATGAATTTTACAGAAAAGGCTTACAGATCCTGTCGTGCCAAGTTGCAGTGTAGACATGTGTGTTGCCAACTGGGGAATCATAGAGCTGTACTGCACCGAGCTAGGATCTGATGTTGGCATCATCTGAAATAAACAATAAATATGCCAAACCATGATTATTTACTAGAAACTTGTACAAGGCTAAGAGAGAACATACTCCTTACTTATCATTACATAATTCTGTATCAGTGATATCTGATTGCATGCAAATTGTGGAAAAAAAAGAGTCTGAAAATAAAAGTCAACAACAAGCAACACTGCCTATTACTCACTCTGGATTATAGCTGCTTTTCTTGTCAACAATACAGTGAAACATTAAATGACATATAAACAACATTAAAATTAAGAAATAAAAATGTAGTCATATAATTAAAAACAATGCTACCAAATGAGCAACCAATTTACATCCAAAAATTCCACTGTGATGGTTGCACATCCCTTTTTAAGCTGTGACTACAGTATGTATGATGGTAAAAGTATGAAGTACATTTCATAACATCTTTGGATATTCTCTATCAGATAAATGGTAGGAATGTAGGGCACAGAAAACTGAGGAAAAGTTACATTTATATACATATAAACACACACTCTGAAAACTACCACCTTGGTTTTCTTACTAAATATCTGGAAATTATACCTTTGTTATTTTCTTTAATCTTTATACAAACATCTTGAAGCACAATACTGCCATCTACACATACTCCATACCATGTTCATATTCCAAGAGATGCTTCCTCAATTCCTATCATGTAGAATTATGCCCATATAAACAACAAAAAGGGTGGATGAAAGGTTACAACCCTGCTACATTGCTTCATTAATGTCTTTATGTGTCATTAAAACTGGTGACAAAATAATCAACAGTAAACATTACCAAATAAAAGTTATGCAAGACTGCCATAAATTCCCTATCAGCTCATAACAGGAATCACGACTGACACCTGGAACAAGTCTCTCAGCAAATGGTGCTCACAACAGGCTCCAGGTCAGGGAAAATCAGTAACTCTATATTCTGCAGAATGGCGCAAAGCAAGCAGAAGACTAACTGTGGGAAATGATTATCATAGTCACATCATACTATTGTGTTGTGCAAAATGAACAAAAATTGTAATGTTGTTGTTACCTATACTATTCATATTGAAGAATGTGGGTTAATTCAGAATTCTGTGGTTGGAGAAGAGGGATTATCATAAGGCTTGTCCACAGTCATTGCAATGACAGCGACAGTAACACTAATAAATCCATGCCCTTTTCAATTAACTTTCATTAATTCTCTGATTGAGAACTTCATTTATACATGTTTATTGGTACCTTAAATTAAAAAAAATCAGTATTTTGATATTGTAACATGTTTCTGCCACTGAAATTTGTTGGTAACATGTGTAAGTCCAATCCCACTTCTGACACCAAATGTAACGTGTTTTTTCCACTGAAATTTGTTGGTAACGTGTGTAAGTGCAATCCCACTTCTGACACCAGTGTAACGTGTTGGGTTACTGAAGACGCCGTTCGGATTGTTAATTGGTTTATTTAACAACTACAAGTCGTACCTACAATTGATTATAACACTGTTGGGTGGTTTCACACTTTATAACCCTATTCGCAATAATCTCTTCACTCTCGGGCATTTCACACTTTATAACCCTATTCGCAATAATCTGTTCACTCTATCTTCAGTAGTCTACACGTATTCACAGTACGGGAGCTATATAAGTGTCACTGTGTTACACACTCCCAATTACTTCTCAGTTCACAAACTATCACTGATTATCACATGCGTCCGGTTCTTCTTTCCACGACTGCTGCTAGATTCCAACTGTGTTGCTCCGGCTCACACAGTAACTCTCGCTTACTTCTCAGCCAGCTTTTATTCCGTTCGCTGTTGCCTGTTGCCCATGTCAACAGAGGCGTTGCGTGCCACGTCACAGTAGGAAGTGGTGAAACGTCACAGCAGGAAGCTGTGCCACGTCACAGTGCGGGGGGGGGAGCGCTGACTCACCTGCTACGTCAGCATGGCCAGAGCTGCCATGCCACCACTGGGGATGGAGGGGGTGTCCTCCATTGCACAACACATCACAATATTAATTAAACTTTAATGTGAATCTATAATAACGTATACCATTGTCTTGGACATTTAATGTTTTGTGTGGAAATTTTTAAAGTCTGGCAATGTCGAAATGTTTAGAGTTCTGACACAAGTGGACAAGAACTTAGGATAGGGCACAGAAAACTGGACACCCCTACAAAAGTCAGGTAAAATCTCTGTCAGAAATTGGTTACTGTGTCTGTTAATAAATACAATACAAGGATCACCGCATGTTCCACATTCCAAATCAACTGATTGTTTGGCATCTCAGCTAGTTTAGCATACTTGCATCCCCACCCCTCTTGTGGATTTACAGTTAACCTTTAAGAGCCGAGCGACTCCATATGGCGTCATGAAAATAAAGTCAAGGGGATGAATGACGCCATATGTCATCGCGCAGTCCACGCGTGCGGCCGGCTTTTTAAAATCTAATTTTAAGTTATAAATTATTTTTCTACTTACATGATTTTTGGTCACCAGCTTTATAAGTTGTCTCTCTTCCCACCTGCGTCGTCTAACGGACTGTTGGCTTCGTGTGGAAATCTTGGAAACATCCAGAAATCCAGTGTCCGACGTCGCACTTCACGCAATTTGTCCGGACGGTTCTTCGTTTTCCACGCGAAAAGCACACACGACACCTCAATTGCAAAGTAGAGGAAGTCGACCAGTGATGTGGTTTGGTCTCCTATAATCGAGATATCTCCGATAAAACGGCAGGGGTTCGACCCCTGGGCAGTTGATGGCGAGGTGGACCCCTTCCAGCATGTTCCGCACAAGAGCGAGACGAAATTCTCTTTGTGACAACAGGATGTAACTGTTCAGATCCAGGAGACAGAAAAATAGTTTATTTGTCCATTTCCAGGTTCGATGACAGATGCTATAACTGTTTGCCACAGTTTGCCCACAGCTCCACTTGAATAATTATTCACACTTCTCTTGCCATGCTGGTGTCGTGGTGGTCCCCAGGTTGCCGACCAAGATGATGGTTCTTCGTCGAAATCAACCGCCAGTGATGTGGTTTGAGCTCCTCTAATCGAGGTATCTCCAATGAAACGGCAGGGGTTCAACCCCTGGGCCGTTGAGGGCGAACTGGACCCCTTCCAGCATGTTCCGCACAAGAGCGAGACGAAATTCTCTGTGTGACAACACGCTGTAACTGTTCAGATCCAGGTGATGGAAAAATAGTTTATCTGTCCATTTCCAGGTTTGACGACAGCTGCTATAACTGTTTGCCACAGTTTGCCCACAGCTCCACCTGAATAATTATTCACACTCCTCTTGCCACGCTGGTGTGGTGGTCCCCAGGTTGCCGACGAAGTTGATGGTTCATCATCAACTTAAATTTTTGATTCACTTTCTTCCTCGCAACTCTCAGAGTCATCGGTACAACAGTCTGAATCGGTGTCATTTGTAAGCTGATTCTCAATTCCAGCGTCTTCCAAATATGAGGCCATGGTGGACAGCTGAACACAACGCTAGCCTTGAACGTTCTGACACTGCTCGGCTATATTTCAAAACAGACTACTTCTTGTTTCTGTATACGAGATAATACAGTCAGTGTTTCTGCGAATGATTAGACATCGCCCACACTCGTGCACATACCGAAAGGAAGCTACGAACTGGAGAATGAGGAACGCAAGCATAAACTTCCGCCCCTGTTGCCACGTAAGCCATAGTTATAAAATGATGTCAGCAGCAGGCATTCAGACTGCAGAAACGTTTTGTGCAGGAACTGTATGCATTTTTGTGCACAGACGTTCGAAATTGAGGGAAAAATTATTTTTGGCATCAGTGTAAAAATTTTAAGAGATTTTAAAATCGGTACATTACAATAACTGATTCTATATTCTTTCTAGATAAAAGCAGCGTTTATTTCGTTCGTTTATCACAAAAATTGTAGAAATCACAGCATTTTGAGTAACATGATTACAATTTTTATTACTCTACAGTGGTGGGCATTTAAATTAACTCCGTCCCACTACCACTACCGGAATTTAAATGGCCGTCTCTTAAAGGTTAAACCACTCCACCCTTTCTATTTCCTTCCAACTATAATCATTTAATACATAAAAGATATTCAGGTAAAGAATGTATACAAGCTGCCCGAAAAACAATTAAAGAAACAAAAAATATATAAACAATACTTAAGCCTGATTATAATGTATAAGCTGGTGACAGAATTCTTTTAGGCTGGGGCCACACAAGCGCACAAAATGCGTCTGTTGTAACAAACGTACTTTATGATGGACGTTGCTGAGGACACCACACAGTTGCAGAATGTGGTGCGTACCTTTTGGCTGCAATGGAGCCAGAAGAAAGCGTAGTATTCGCCTCTCATTTCTACAATTGACGTCACAACGTTCGTTACAACGGACGCATTTTGTGCACTCATGTGGCCCCAGCCTTAACAGTTGTGGGCGCATGACAAAATCATTAACATGGTAAGACTTCCAACAGAGGAAACAGCCAGATGTTTACATTACAGTTACATTCCAAGTCTTGCCAACCCTCATTTTCTTGGCTGACTCCAGATGATGAAAGGATAATCGTAGTGGCTTCCTTTCAGACATGACAAATTTCTTACTAATCCCTATGTGAAGACATCAACCCCTACATGTACCACCAGCTTTAATACTGTAACATACCACCTGAAAGGTGAACAGTGGAATGAGTAGAGGCGGTTACTGCTAGGCAGCAGCACAGTAAACACATTTCTGTGGCAACAGAGATACTGACACAACAACAGAGGATTTGATGTTTTCTATGCAGTCTGTGCCAAGATATGCAGTGAGGACCTGCATCAGTCATGAATTAAGTGAGCTGTGGCAGTTTGTGAGGGATCTCCATTGTTAGTAGCTGCTACTTACCAACAATAATTGCACCAGAAGACTTTGGGTCTGCTGTAGTCGCAGTGATTTATAATGTGTGTGTGAATTAGTTAAACTGTTATAATCATTTGTAGTTATGAGTTATAAGTGCCCGATAAATCAAATTATCAATCCAAACCCCGTGTCTAGTCACTGACACATTCCATCTACAGTTATAATCAATCCATGTCATACCGACCCTCACTTTCCTGGCTGATTCTTGTTGAAGAAAGCATACGCACAGTGCGTTCTTTCCATACAAGAAGAATTTCTTACTAATTTCTACGTGAAGATATCAACCGCTTAAGGCTAGCTGTTACTCATACATACCAACCTCTTTATCAGCTACCAACTTTGGTTTGACCACAAAGTATAAACTTATGTAGTCTGTAAGGGTCTCAGCTCTAACAGTAATTATACTTAACCAGCATAACTAATGGAGGACGCATGTTTCCCATGAGGTATGAACTTATTTAAAATATTATTTAAATTAATTTCAAAGGATTAAAAAGGTTGCTTATATTGTATTTTGTTAAAAAAACAAAGAACAGAGGCAATGATAACAGGTTATGAAGTATCTATCACAGTCCTCACGCTGCAGTTGCATAACATTCTAGTACAGGATTCTCATAAAATAAAAATATAATGAAATCCACTACTGATAATCACTGTACTAGATTTTTACTTCATAATAAAACTTGCACACAGATGAGCATAAGAGTTCANGCTGTGGGAATCTGCAAGCAGATCACTATTCTCATCCGTCACTAACCCTCTGACGTGGTCATTTAAATTCCGCGGCCGCGGCTCCTGCGGTAATATATTCAGCCGGCCATTTAAATTTTGCTCGAAAATTATTTATTCATCATTGTTCTTAAATTCTATGAGATAGGAACATGAAACTTTCACTAAAATGATCTTAAAAGGTGGTTTTATAACCTTACCTTATAATATGAACCCCCTTTATATCTTCAATGGAAGCAGGTTGTTTAGTATTTGAGCAGTGAATGGTACGCTTTGAAGGATGAAACTTTCACTAAAATGATCTTAAAAGATGGTTTTATAACCTTGCCTTATAATATGAGCACCCGGTATCTCGGCTATGTAAGCAGGTGACGCCTTGAAGCATTAGTCTAAACACAGCGCTGGCTCACATTCACCAAACCAATACTGCGTATCTTTACTTTTGCTTTTTTTTTTCTAACCACACTTCTGTGCGGCCCTGCCTTCTTCCCCGTGGGGGGAATACAAGTGGAAATGTCCCTCCGTGAGTCGTATATTTTGACAGATTAGCTGCAGTAAATTCAACCTTTGTGTTATCATAACAAGGGTTTGGTGCTTCTGCGTTTCAGATTCCAACCTTTTCGGCTCCCCAGATGTCGTAGGGGTGACCACAGAATTCATGAATTTATTATAAGAACTGGCTGGTATATAGAGGAAGAAAGCAGAGCTTAGCTGGCTCAAAAAAAATAGTTATGGTCATCCCTCGAAACGACCACCAAGGTCAGTACGATAAAATGGCGTCAACTGGAGCGATAATGAGTACTTTTCCCTCCCCCACACACATCCGTATCGTCTCAGGGGGTGACCACAGTGTTCTGCCTTAAATTGTGGCGTTTTTCTAAGAAATGGGTGCTATGTACTGTGCGAAAGCAATCGATTTTACAAGAATAAAATTTTGGACAACCCTCTTCTAAGAATGCCATTTGAGTGTGTCAGTGTGGCCAGCTCGGGGCAATATCATATTATAAACACATCACATCACGTCTGACATTCATAGCGGTGAAACCGCTAGCAAGAGCCACAGGAACTTTGCTGCAAGACAGGCATATGTAACAATGACTTATCTCAGCTAAACTCGTTGGCTTAGTATACTCTGTTCTTGTGACAACAGGCCAGCGAAAAATCTAACAATCTACAGCAAAACCATCAATTATTATGGGCGTTATAACATAGGTGTGCAGCTGGACGAAACATACAGGCCGAACCCCCCCAGACGATTTAAATCCCTGACGAAACATACACGACGAACCACGGCAACGGGTTAATGACACCCACATTCCTCAATGTTTCCATGCACATAGGGCATCCTGTAATCAGTGTTTGCAAAAACATGTAAACTTTTGGGCTTATGAATTTAGCCAAGAGCAAGGCATATGCAATTTGGTTGGTATAATGGGTTACAAATACTTTCATAAACCTACCTTGTTACACGCACTGGGTGTGGAAAAAGAAACATTGCAATAATGCACTGTACTGGAAATCTATAAGAGCGGCTGAACTACTTCGAATAAAATCTCTGGCATTGCAGGCAGCATGCTTTTGCATTATATATAGCAAGATCAGCAAGATTCCATTTCAGTGCACATACATAACATCAAGAAAGTTTCATAAGCTTCTGCAGACATTACTGTAACCTCTTCTAGTTAAAATCATGAAACAAAAAAAGAAGTGTATGCACTCTATGCTGATTACAAATTTTAACAAACAAACATTTTTGTTATATAAGTAATCTTTACAAAAGCTGTACATTTCTATTTTGATTATTATTAAAGTCACAACTTTAGGTCCATGATTTATTTCAACCGTCTTCCAGCGCATACACTCATCTATCTCCTCCTCTCTCTTGCACTACATGTTTCGGCACAAAAGTGCCATCTTCAGGTGCTTATTCGATTTACGCTAAACTAGTTCATTGTATGCCTTGTCGTCTTCGTATTAAAATAACTAAAATATATATTTATCATACATATTGATAAATGTTAAATGTTAAAAATATTAAAATTGTTCAAGATTCCTCATCCCTACGTCGTATCTCACTACGCGAGTCACACCTATCCTCTTCTGTCGGAGCACGCTTTCACTATCGTGTGTGTATTGTGCTTTGTGTTGTGTCTTGCTCCTGTGACTGCGTGAGTTCAATATATATGATAAATATATATTTTAGTTATTTTAATATGAAGACAACAAGACATGCAATGAACTAGTTTAGCGTAAATTGAATAAGCACCTGAAGATGGCATTTTTGTGCCGAAACATGTAGTGCGAGAGAGAGGAGGAGATAGATGAGTGTATGCACTGGAAGACGGTTGAAATAAATCATGGACTTAAATCAGTGCAACAGGACGCTAAAATATAACGTCACAACTTTAGTTGTCCACAAATTAGGGCCTTATCAACAGGTACTACTACTGAATTTCAAATCAGGGATGATGATATATGCTTTTGGCCAGCTGTACCAGCTGCATGTGGCACTACTTTATTAACACAATACAAGTCAATGGGGCTGGGCAGCTAAGGCCCACCCAGCCTTCTATCCAATGGGTTTGGGGGGGGGGCAATTTCCCTTGGGGTAAAGGAGCCAGGGCATGAAGCTGTGACCACTCACCTCCAACTAGAGCTGAGATCAAGAATGGTGGAGCTAGACCTACACTCCCCCATATGTCTTCATGGCATAATGCTTAATTAATTCAGCACAAGCACAACTTGTATTTTTTACACCCAATTCAAAGTGCTAATTGCAAGATGCTGCAAACATGGAATAACCTCAAATATGTATGAATGGTCTCTGGAAACTGTTAGTGGAATTGGCTATCACAAAAGTTTGTTAGTAATTCCGCACAATGAAACAAAGAATATGCATCCTTGAACGTGAAGTGGCAAGTGGAGGGGTTAATGGTTAGGTTAGTACACTGCCAAACTTAATGTGGTCCAACTCCACTTACCACAGAAATGCCCCTGGTGTGGTGATTCTCATTCTTGTAATTATGCATGTGGGAGGTGGAGGCCAACTGGCAAGCAAATTGGTCCTGAAAACAGGGTACAGCAAGTGATATGAACTGGGCCAGTGCGCACAAAGTTTCTTTTTGTGTGTGAAACCAAATTATATCATATTTATTTTTAACTGCTTAATTTAGGGAGTTCATTTGGATGAGACTGAAAGTTGTGGTGCATAAAGTGCGGCAATACTGCTTTCCAGAGCAGCTGACTTTCATGTGGTAACATGTGTTAGAAGATATCACCCACCCAAAATCCATAATGAGATTCTTTCATGCACATTGACAGTTAAATGCCACTCGATAAATTTCACCTGATGCACAATTTTTGTGAAAAACATGATCAAAGTTATGAAGTATGACATGGCAACAAGGCATCAATACTAACACCTACACAATTCAAGAAATGATTTAGTGATGAACATGGCAATATTTCAACAATTGGGAAATTTTCATGGAAAACAAGATAGAGTTCCCACATACCATATCGCTATAATCACATTCTTCATAAAAATTACAAATTGTTGAAACTTCACCAATGGGACATGTTTACTTTTTATTCCCCCCCCCAAATTCATCCAAAACTCAGGGTGCATACATTACATGGAAGTGTAAATTATGAGTGTAAATATGGCAATCATGCTCACATTTCCAACCCAATGAAGCATGGAGATATCAAGAACTCATTCACAAAAAATTCTGTCAAAAAATCTACTTCACACTTATTCCACACCCCTATTAAACTGCTCCAATTCACTGCACCAGGCTGATTCATGTTGTGCAGTCTGCCAAGTATGTTCGTAACACAAGAAACTCTGGGTATAATTTACATAAACCGTTTTTAACACTTAGAGTGTGGTTTTCCTCAAAGATATCAAGATCTGAACTTGAATAATCAAATAAAAGGGTCATCCAGAAAGTAAAGACCGCTAGCACTTGTGCACTACATGCTCACTTTGCCTGGGACATTTTTTCTGTCCTCCACAGTCCACAACTGGATCCCAGTAATCTTCACTTATTCACTTATTTTGGGTGGCACTCACATTGGTAGCGATGAAGTGAATGAATAAGACAGTGGTTAAAGACTGGTGGCAGATTTCTATGATGTAGGCATACAGAAATTCATCACACGATAAGAGTGCCTGAATTTTCATGCGGATATGTAGAAAAATGATTTAATGTCTGTAATAATAATGTACAATATTTTTCTTTTTAATTTTGTTTATTTCTTTTACTCGCCAAACTGTCTTTTGTTTTCTGGAAGACCTATGTGTTTAGCCATTCTTTAATGAACAGCAATTTTACTATCACTGCCAAACACTCTTCTACAAACCCAATTACTGCACATATAGTGGCAATCACCTACTTCAGGTACTATCTCAACACTCGTCTTGAAGGACCAAGAGGGGAAAAAACCTGAGCCATGGCAGTGTCTTTGTGAAGATCTGAAGCACGCACCTCTTGAACACAAGTTTTAAAGTGTTCATCTGTTACTAGTTCAATCACCTTGCTGAATGTATCACCTAAATCTAACCAAGGCAATATGTATCAGAAGTGAGGAAGATGATGTACATTTAAATTAACATAATATTCTCTCTCTGTGATGTTACTCACTTCCACCTGAGTCATGTGAGGTGCTGGTGGCATCACATACTGGGGTAACCAGGGATTTCCAGGCAATGAATAGCTCTGCATAGTCTGAGCACCATAGTGTCGGCCATACTGTGTCAAGGCTGTGGGAAGCATGTGCTGTGTCGTCACCCCATTCTGTGCCATGCCACTTGGGTCATAGCTTACTGGAGCAACCTAATTGAGGTCAAAACATACAGAAGTCTTAAACACAAATTTTCATTTGCAGTACTGTTTATCAACTTTTCTGGATAGAGGGTGTCACATAGTCAGAGCAACAGATCCCCACGGCTGTTAATCTCAGTCTTCTAGACTGGAGCCGCTATTTCCTTGAAAAAGCTCCTCAGTTATCCACGCGAGGCTGGGTGGACCCCGTTCCAGACCCACTACTTCTCAGAAAGTCTGGCAGCGCCGGGAATCGAACCCAGGATCCTTGTATCTGTAAGCAGGAACTCTGACCACCATACCACAGAGACAGTTGGCACTAACTTCGCCAACAAGCGACAGACGCTTGGTCAGTACAGTTTCCTTGCAGGCTACAAACGACGGAGTCTGAGTTTGATTACTGTTGATCAGAAAGCATAACCTGGATATACGACAAAGAAAGCCGTCTATGTAGCAGCAAGTCATCATCAAGAATCTAATAGTTGCTCAGCTAGTCAAGAGCTTCCTGAGTTCTGCAAAACTCGAAGGTTCTTTACCGTTGTTACGAGTCTGCCATTGCTTCCTTCCCTCAAACAAATTTTGACCCCTCCAAACATAAATTTTAAATACTATTCTCCCATCCATTCCTAGGATTTCACAGTGGTCCTTTACCTTTAGGTTTGCTGATCAAATAAAGAGCCATCCAGTGTAACAAAATTTAATACAATAACAAATTTGGTGTATGGCCTTACAAGCTCTAGGAGGTATGAACATGAAAGGAAATTACATCAAGCGTAAAGCTAATTTACTTAATTGTCATGCCTGTGAAGACAGTCCCAAGGGGCTATAAACATGTAAGGCCCTGTAATCTAATTTGATTTTAAAATCTGTTGTTACACTGGATGGGCTGCCATTCTAACTATCCTTGCAGGTATTTCTGTCAGATCCTGCTACCAATACAATTTAGTGTGCTTCTTTTAACTTACAAATTTACAGATAATGTTGCATGCTTAGCTATTAGATATTTTTCTTCTGAAACGATATAGTTCATAATCAACCCCTAATAAGACTGCAAATTCTCATACATTCTCATTTCTCAACTGTTCACCTGAATGTTCAAAACTCCATTACAAGTAAAACTTCACACCATCATAAATAGCCTCACTTGCAACAACAATCATCAACAACCAACGATACAATCTCAATCGGTAGTGATGGGCCATGGGCTGCATGACCTCGGTTCAATTCCCAGAAGTGCAACACCTTCTCTTCTCTGCAACATTAAGACTGATCCTGGGGTCCACCCAGCCTCGTATGCAATTGGTACCATGGCTTTTCCCTGGTAGTAAAGTGGCAGGGGCATGAAGCTGACCACTTACCTCCATCTAGTGTCAGAGGTCAAGAATGGTGGAGCTGTAACTGCCCTCCCCAATATGTCCTCATGGCACAATGCTTAACCAACCACAGAGACTTTTCTTTTGCCTACACTTCCAGCTGCTGAACTGATGCTGTTTATGTACAACACAAAACATCTAAATGGGGATTAACATTACACTTTCCATTTAAAAAAACTAAGGATATTAATGAGCTAATGGAACCCCCACCAGCATCATGCCTGCCACACTTCACGTAACTTTCATGCTATTTGAGACTGACAGACCCTGTTAGTCTCAAGTGAGTAAGGAACAACCAGAAGCTGTACCATTACGTGATTAATAATACTGTCTGAGATTCTGATTCTCACAGTGGTGACATGGAGTTTATTGTCAAGTGGGATGTGACACCGCACAGTCTGGTACATCATCTTCACTGGAGCCTCCATGTTCAGAATATAAGACAAAAGCAGCAGATTCTTCTAAAACAGTACCAGATTACACACTAATACATCCCAAAAAGCAGCAGCCTGGAGCAACTTCTGATGTTCACAGTTCCGAATCCCAAATTTCTCCACTGCTTCAACTGAGCATGAATAATTATAATAGGAAATCTGCTCCCAAATCTACATTTCTGTATAATACATGAGAGTGTTATAACAGATTCTGCACATTACCTCTCCACCTTCTCTCCACATTCGTTGATCCGGACTCTTGTATAGGCTACGTTTCTTATTCCCCCCATCAGCAAATTTCACAAGAAGAGGCTCCTTTGACCCGGCCAAGGGGTTCCCATTAAATATCTGAATTATCTGTTCACATTTCTCTTTTGATTCCATCCTGAAAGAAGGAAGAAAGAAGAGTTCATGAACAAAATTCAGATTTTCATTATGAGCAAATAAAGTATACTTCTAATCCAACCAAGTTTACATTACAAGAAATTTTTAACCACAACTAAAAAATCTGGCACATTCATTAATAACTGTAACTTGTAATATTTCTGAATTCTTATTAACATACAAGATAATTTCCGCACTTAAGGGAAAATGAAGTGTAATTTGCTGTGTAAACTTAGAACTGCATATTTTCACATTCTAAGGACTGATGCGTAACTCTGCAGCAAGCAGTTCATGTAGCAACAGCAAAAAGCTAATCATAATACTAATGTGAAAGCATTACTGAATTTGGGGCATAAAACCTATTCAGATAATTAACTCTGTACACATGCAACATTTTCTGCCTATAAAACCATATTTCATCAATAAAGCAGCTTGTATGTGATACAACAGCCCAGAGTTAAGTAACCAAGTGCATCCTCAACATAAGTCACATAAACTAGCGATGCAAGCTCACCTTGCAAAGCCAACACCTTTACTCTGACCAGATGTGTCCCTTAGTATTCTTGTCGAGATGACTTGTCCATACTTTGCCAGCAAATTGTCTACATCATTCTCCTTGAAGTTTAGGGGCAAGTTGGCAATGTACAAGTTTGTAGGATCTTGCTCTTGTTGCTGCCCAACACAAAAAGAATGCATTTCATTCATACTGACAAGCACGAATGAACACAGTGATCATTATGGTCATAAGATCATTAATTTCATGTACAAATACACTTCTAAAAGTTAAAGAAGTACCTAAAAACATTTAAAATCACTTTAAACACGTACAGACAGAATTCCTGTAACATCAACAGTAATGCTACTTGTGTGGCCCATCAATCAATCACAATGAGAACCATAAAATTCCTTTCACTGCAAATTCTGAGTGTCATGACAGCTACTACTGCGCCACTCTGAAAAATATGATTAATAGTCCATTGCTAGTATCGCAGGAATGGATACAAACACAACACTGTACTGCTGGAATCGGTGTCTTCAACATGGTCCATGCCAAGGCACTTGCTAGACAAGTTACAGTTAACTTCAGAGTTGACAACTGGAGCGAAAAGTTATGTGAGAGACAGCCTGCCAGCCAGTAAGCATATGAACACGAAAGCTCTCTAATCTAGATTGTTGGGAGCTGTAACTAGCATGGTGACAGCAGCAACTTTGTCACCCCAAGAACTCGGACCACTGTCATGTCACGTCATGTCCAATGCATGACCCTGTCAACAGGACATTTCAAAGAACCAGACTAGAAACTGAACCATGCTGACTTGTTGGATCCAACCATGCTTGATTTACTGTTCCACTTGAAGATGAAGTCAGCAAGCTCCTCAGAAATACCATGCAAAACAGAGCCACATCCCAGAAAATAGTAATCCTCACTCTCAACACCATAAGAACTGCAATCTAATGTGATGACCAACATTTTCATAATATCTAAGAAAAACTTTTCTGCTTGTTGTTAATGACAGGCTCTCTACAGTCATGCCAGACACAGCATCATGCTTACCCTGAGAGCAGACTTTGTTTTCAATAAAATATGATATGAAAATTCAATTTCACATTGGTGTGATGAGGCAACAGAGAGAAGAACGTGCACTTCACTTCTGAAAACTGGATTCAGACCCACTGGAAAACAATTATGGGGAACTGCCCATATCACTGATTAAGTGATCATTCAGCTGGCTTATTACATTGCTCATCTCTGTCACGCACAAAAAGCCATTTTTTGTATTCTTCCCTTTCAGGATCTTATCCAACCTGTAGAAGTAAAGTAAAGTAAAGTAAAGTAAAGCTACCCCTGTAACAGGCCGTGGAGGCCCATAGGGTTGTGAGACACTGAGGGTCCCACAGTATCTAGACATTTCTAGACAATCAGCTCACAGATGGTGGCAAGGTTGTCAGCCTTATGTGCCGGCCACACTTTACCCCCAAGAATATTCCTAGTACTCATTTCTGTTAGAGGCTGACTTGACCCCAGGGCCATAGTGCAGCTGGAAGGCTTAGGTAAATTGAAAAAATCCACCTCATTGTGATTTGATCCAGTGATTTTCTGGCTTGTAGCATAGTGCCCCCTTATCCCACCTGTACAGTTTACAATGGTGTCATGTAATTTTTTTCTGGCAGCGGAAATTAAGAAACCTGCTGTCAAAGAAAAAGAGATTTTATTATTATTATTATTATTATTATTATTATTATTATTTGACTTCATAAATACATCTGCAGGTATGACAATTTTAGCAGCTGTGATATTTTCAACCTGGCAGGTAGAATGAGCAATATAAAAATCCTTCTGGATGTACATGCACATACGTGCTTGCACAGACCAGACTGACAATCCTACAAAAGCTCTTCCACAGAAGAGAGAGAGTAAGAACCAGTTTCAGCAAAACAATTTTAATTGGAGTTCCAGTTAAATATAAGCCCTTTTTTAACCCTTTGCACAATACATTAAGGAAACTTGTAAACAATAACCCTTTCACTGCCAACACTCATTGATTATACAAAAGGTAACTCAAATTAAAACAGCAAAATCAAAATAAAGATGCATATTATTCAAAAACTGATGGCAGTCTTTGTGTCAAATTACTGAACAATCTGGTGGTAACACTAAGTGAGCACACACTGGTTTTATTTGGAAACAGCTGGTTTCCAAGACAGGGAACCTGCAGTCATGCAGGGTAAAGATGTGACATACGAGGGTTGGAAATTTTATTGTGGCAACAATGCTGTAGACACACCATGCAACGGAACCAAATAATGTCACTTATACCACACGTTAGTTACATACCTACCTTACCTCAGAGCAAATGGACTCTCCCTTCTCACATCACGCGTATGCGAAGTGACGAGAAGAACAGAGCCTCGTGTTAGCTGGCGGTCTAATGTAGTGTTGTCACGATGTTTTCAAAACAGGAACATCGGAGTTGGATAAAAATTGAATGTGCCAGAGGCCGTACAGCATGACAGTGTCATCAAGGTCAAGAGGCTTGCGGGGAATCTGCATTGCCTTACAGAGTAGTGGCAAGGTGGGTAAAAGCCTTCAACGAGGGACGCCAAAATGTGGCACACATGCGTTGGCCAGGTCGTCCTAGGGTCAGCGAAGAAGTAGTGTATGCTCTTTCTGCGTTACTGGAGAGTGATCAACACCATAAGATTCGTGAGCTGGCTCGAGAGACAGGATTAGAGCATACAACTGTGCTTCACATCCTGAAGGTATGCTGGGGCATGAGAAAAATTGCATCACAATATGTTCCGCATGATTTGATGGAAATGCAGAAATGGCAAGCTGTTGCTGATTTGTTCGATTTATGGGGCTGGGAAGTGCTGTACCATCCACCATACTCCCCGGACTTAAGCCCTTGTGACTTCAACTTGATTCCTAAGTTGAAAGAACCACTTTGTGGCATTCAGAGATTCTTCAGGCAGTAGACCACTCCATTCAAATTATCAACCCAACAGGCGCTAAAGATATCCTACGACTTCCACAGCGCTGGCAACGGGTTGTACACAATGCTGGTGACTACACTGAAAGACAGTAAAGCTTCGAAACGTGCATCTATTTTGTATCAGTTGTAAATAAATAGTTGCCATTATTAAAGTTCCAACCCTCGTATAATTTGATTTCTGAAAGCAGAAGAAAATGAGCTATGCTCAAATTTATAACAGAATGCTGATTCATTCACCCAACTCAGCTCCATGTCATCATCATCATCTTTTCTGCACACTTAAAAGGTACAACTAAGAGATGTAATTTCTCATGAGTTAAAAAGGTCATGACAGCAAGGTACAAATGGCTTCAACATCAACAATATTACTCTCAAGGAATCCAGGCATTAGCACAGCACTGCAGAAGTGCATCGAATGTAATGAGGACTACACCAAAGACTGGCTTATGTAGTTTCCTTGTTGTTTGTGAAATTTTAATGTCTGTGGTTTTCATCTGAAAGACTTTCTGCGCTTACTGCAAAACTGAAACGTGTGCTGCATCAGCCCCGAACACACTTGCTTTTAGATAGGCCAATTACCTTTGCCCAACTCAGAACACAATCACGTTAGATACAATTATTGTGAATTTTGCAATCTAAGATCCTCTGCAGAGTGGTCTTCTGTGTTAGGTGCCACATCCCTGTCAGAGACATTATCATAATGCAGAAATCCACAATGTTAACTTCTCCACCATGAAAACTGCAAACTTGAACGAATTCAAAATAGAATAAAATGTAATATATTGGTAGCAATATTTGCACAAAAACAAACCGGCAGGAAAAAACTTGTCAGCAGTTGAAAATCTGGTTAAAACAATTACTGTGTGCTTTTAACAGTTAAGAAAGCAGCAACGGCTCAAAGTAATAAGAACAACAAACAGTTCTGAGAGATGCAGCATCTTAACACAGCTATTACTTTCCACTGGTCGGTTACTGGCACGGGAAGATGAGACACTGGACCATAAATATATATGTACAACACACACAAGAGTTACTTCTCTTGAAACAGGTATCACTCACCATACATATACATGAAAATGTATTAGAATAAGAATTTCTCATGAGTTTCCACGACTGCTGGATTAAACACCATTCCTTTATGAACCTTTAGTATCGTTATCTTCTCTTGACAAAGTATAGTGCATATTTACAAGGCATTTTTAATCTGTAATTGCAAAAGCCCCCAAAATTATTCAGGAAAAGCAAATGCAAACATAAACATATCATACAGAAGAAAAAGAGGAGGATAAATTTAAACAGAGGCGTGTGCGCACATGCACGCCCACACACTTGTAAGCCCAAATGCACTCTCTCTCTCTTAAAACTCTCACATCACACCAAATCCTGAAAGAGAATAATTAGTTCTAGCTAATGGTTTCAGTTTAGAGGTGAAAATTTACAAACAATTAAAATGAGAGAAAGAGTGTGAACTACCAAACTACATTATGAGCTACAGCCTACTTTAATGCACTACTTACTATTTTTCAAATTCCGCTACTATGTGGAACAACTGAGTTTAACATGGCTAGAAACTATGCTAATTATGTTATCAATGGTATTTATATTATTTACATTAAAACCTATTTCAAAGCTACAATCAAATAACCCACCACTAGTGCTACATTGCCATAATGTCAACTTTACAAAAATAAAAGCACATTACAGTCAGCTGTAAGTAGCCTACTTGGTGACCTATATTAATACAAAGTTAACAGTTTCTTCACAACATAAGTGAACACGAAAACATGTAAATGGCGTTATGTAATAAAATTTGGATTACATACACTACTGGTTCTTCACTATGTTATATTTCTGGGTGGTTTATGATCCCTCAAGTGCTCTGACTTGGTCTTTTCTGGTAAATTCAGGTTACAGTGGGTCAGGTCATGCTGAATTAAATTAGGATGGTTTGGTTGGATACATTAGGTTAGGGTAAGGTTAGGTGAAGACAGCTCAGTTTATGGGAATTTTTACCAAAATGTGCACTGTATCTGTGTTCGTTACTTCTAACAGTCTCCGCTTATGTGCAAATAATGCAATAAAGTGTTACATTACAGACTACAATTGCATATGAGGTCTGACAATAAAGTTTGCAAACTCGTCGTGTGCTTGCCATGGCAGCAGTGGACAGAAAACTCA